TGATCACCAAGGTTGCATTAATTTGATCAAAATACAGTAAAACAGTAATATTGTGAAATATTATTACAATTGAACAATTTAGCTGTTTTCTCTGCTGTATTTTTTTTTTAATTAATTTTACTCCTGTAATGCAAAGATGAATTTTCAGTATCATTACTCCAGTCTTCAGTCTCATAATCCTTCCGAAATCATTCTAATATGCTGATTTGATGCTCAGGAAACATTTCTTATTATTATCTATTGAAAACAATTGTGCTGCTGATTCTTTTGAGGAGACCATGATATGTTTTTTTTTTTTCAGGATACTTTTTTTAATAGAAACTTCAAAAGATTTGTATTTATTTGAAATAGTAAAACTCTTTTTTTTTCTGTCACTTTGATCAATTTAATGCAGCCTTGCTGAATAAACATGTTAATTTCCTAAATTCTTCAAATAATTTCCCCAAATGAACTGTTATATATATACTGAGTTATCTCTGAACAAAGAATGACCGTCATGTTATTTACTTCATAATATGTACTGTATGCTCTGATCTTCCTAATCATTTATTTTGGAGAGCAGGCTTGTGGTGGCATTATCTGTAACCCTGGGTCTGTTTGCCATCGAGCTGGTTGGGTTCCTCTGTGGAGTCTCCATGTTCAACAATAATCAAGCCCTTTTGTGTATCCTTTCCAGTAGCACATCATCACCACAGGCTCTACACGTAGATGTTATGACAATTGTCCTCGTGAGATAGATAGCTTTACTTTTATTATCCTAGAGCAGTCCAAAAAAACGAATGCAGACAGTACATTGCTCTCATACTGGTACAGAATTTCACTTAACTGTGACTTTGCAGCTATTGGATGTCACGCCAGTGGGTCTGTGGCTTTGGCCTTCTTCTTGTTTGAGCAATGGACCTGCACCATCTACTGGTGGATCTTTGGCTTCTGTAGGTCAGTCGGTAAATAATTAACTGAAAATGCATAACTGTGAATATGAATGGACTTATTGATGATTTTTTTTTTTTTAATTTATGTTTTAGTGTGATTCCTGCACTATATGAGATGATCCTCTTTGTTGTAGTGTTTGGATTTAAGAGGAAGCCTCTTTGAGTATCTTGATTCTGGTTGGATATTGTCCTTCCATCCCCAAAGTAACAGAATCACCTGAATTCAGAATAACATTCACTGCCACAATAAACTAGCGTTTCTAAAAAAAGTATGTAACATTTTTATATATATATATAATGTTTTGTACTCATTGTAATGAATTAATAAAAAAAATATACATTTTGATACAACTGATGACTAAATAGGTCTGTTAATGCTTCACATTTTTCAGTAGATTACACAACGTTTACTCATAAAACCTGTAACAAATAGGCACAAGATGAACTATGAATTATACTTATATAATTTACAGTATACTAAGTTCAGTCCCCAAATGCATAGATGCTTAGCTTCATAAAACAATTTCTAATTCTGTCATCATTACTCAACCTAATGTTATTCTATTCCTGTATGACCTGTATAACCTTATTTTCTGCTTGTGAGTGAACGCTGAAAGCATGATATGTTGACATTGCAGCTAGAAGTAAAAGCGTGCAACTCCTGGAGATAAAGTGAGAATTTACTAGCTGCTCAAGTACACTGTAACTTTAACAAGTTACCATTCATATTTACCTCTTACTTCAATAACAGACGGAGCAAAACTGTAATTCAAGAGGCATAAAGGCAATATTTAGATATTTATATATCGATATTGATAAGATATATCAAAACATATTTATATGAGATATCTACAGTATATGCCATAATGAATAAAATATGTTTCAGGAGAAAGTTTAGGAAAAATTAATTATTTGAAGCATAATTGCCAGTCTGTATACTATACTTGCTCCACAAGTTATTTTAGTTTAAAATAATCCTTTTTAAAAGTTAAAACCTATGATTTATTAAAAAAAAAAACAGCATTAAGAAGAAAAAAGTCCAACACAGAGAATTTTATGTGAATCCAAATAACTACATGATGTATTCCATAAGCTTAAAATGTTCTTAGCAAACATCAAGGTGTTTGTTTATATGCTGTTGGACTGTCAAGAGACGTTAGTCCTTCACAGGAATGATGAGCCTGCGAGGTACGTGGTGAACTGAGCATAGCTGACTTCAGCTGGACTGCACACACTCTTTCATTAAGATGGATGAAAACACACAAATAATCCGTGACTAGAATGACACAAGATATTCACACCATCCAAACAAATCTCAAACTCTTCAGTTTTAGCTCAATACTCATTGCTACGGTACAGCATTGCAGTTATCCAGCATTTTATAAACTGGGAAATTGTTTTATATTATTTGTTTTACTTGTTTTAAGATATTTGTATATCACACACACACATATACATGTTCCTAATAATCCTTTAGGTGAGTGTGTGTCATTAGATCGGCCTTTTTGAAATTCATTTTAATAACCAATTTTAAATGTATTTAAAAAAATATTGAAAAAATAATATAACTAAAGGACCGTTTATTTAAAATTAAATTCAGACACTCAATAAATTAAAATTGATGGAAGTAATTGGTTACTGAAAAAAAAAAATGTTTGTTGACATATACTTGAAATGGAAGAACTTGCAATCAAAAAGATCTGAGAACCGTCGCTCTCTGTCTTTAAAAGAAACCTCAGCTCTTCCTTTCTGCGCTGGTGGCATCTATTCATGTACCCTGATTTCCTTGGACAAAATCAATACCTCCATTTCCAAGAAACTTCCTTCATATCCTCTAAATAATCCAACCACTCGTCCAAACTTAAATAAACCATAGCAATCAATAAGGCAACTTCAGCCAAGATGCTGCATCGGCCTGTCTTTAATGAGCTCCACTCTCTCTGTGTACACAGCCCTATTTCCTCGGCAGCTCATGCAACTGTCTCCACACATATTATCAGCACGCTTTGCTTCCCATCGTTATTTTCGTCCTTGTCTCCGTTTGCCACGACCCACCTCATCGTATGACCCCTTTGCTGTCTGTCGCATAATGAAAGCTCTCTTCACCCTAGGCCAATTAGTGTCAACTAGACACCAACAACTTCAGTGACCTCTGGCTAGATAATTAAAAACTAAATGGAAGGTGCATCTTGACAAAAAACGCCATTTCCAGTGACGGGACATTTTGCTATACTTTGCTTTACCCATAGTTTTATAGTGTATTGGGATCACCCTCCTTGCATAAGTGATTTAAAGAAAACAGAGATGCTTTGTAATTCAACAGCTTCAAAAAAACACTGTGATGGTAATTAATTGCCATTTTGTGGTGGATTTTACAGCAAAACTGCAGCAAGCTATTAGAAATAGCAGGATGTAAAATAGGTTAAGAGATTTACCATTGTGAACTTTAAATTGAACATGCTTAGTCAAGAGGCTTTTCTGGTTTATTCAACCAGTAAAGCTGTTTTTATGTCACTACCAAAGCGTGAACAGTAGAGGGCGCTAGTATGCATGTTAATGCTATGGCTTCTTAGCATTCTTAGCACTAATTAGCATTTATATGTCAAGGAGAGATCTGTCTATTTGAACCCTACTTTTGAAATGTTAACTAGCTTTATGTGAGATATCTGTTGACTACAAAATCTGTGACAAATCATTTCTTTTAAAAACTACATGAGCTGCAGTTCAGATGTTGACACTTGCCTATAAAAGTTAACCTCAATAATTAGTGACATTAAGCAGATCATTTGTGGCAATTCGAGTAGATGAGATGGTGTTGATTTATGGATTGACATATGGATTATCCTGTCAGTGACATGGCTATTGTTACAGCGTGCTAAAATGTAACATCCACAGTAATGTTGAAATAATGCTGTTAAAATTCACACGGTTTAATTGCCAGTCTCTCACCTCCCTCTTTGGACTGTTAAATGTTTAACTAAGGTCTACTTTATGGTTCATTCTTATTACTGAGGGTATATTTAACATCAAAAAGGTAAAAAAAATGAAGCAATCTCAATAAAAGGTGATGTATGTAAATATTTATGAGGTGGGGGGTAGGGGGATCTAATTATCATCAATAGACCTGATCAATTTTTTTCAACTTAAAGTGCAGTTTTGTCTGTGTTCCTTGAAGTGAACTCATGCCCTTGCTAGTTCTACACTCCACACAACATGCGCATTAGCTACTTTAGTTAAGCTAGCAAAATAGCTCCTCTGCTAGCACATGAAGACCACACAGAGAAGTGCTATCTCCTGTCCTGCTCCCCTCAGCGCCGATGATGTATTATAGGTAGTGTGACTATTCTAATAAACACGGTTGGGGTAATTAAGGCATGGAGAGGCAGCAGACAGTGGTGGCCTAGGGACAACACGAAACGATAAATCACAACTCTTGGTTCCGCCTTCTCGAGCGTGGCCGATCACACTCGCCGAGAAAGCAATTCTGCCAACCTGGGTTTGCACATTTGTCTTCATCAGCCTGTGGTTGTTTTGGGGCTAGTCTGAATTCGCTGGTTCCCATGGTAATCAAACAAGCTAGAGATATCAAATGTGTCCATTTTAATGTCAGCGATGGCATAACATTAAGGACAAGCCTGGAAGCTAACACTATGTTTTATAATGGAGCCCAGAGTGTAGGCTACTGGAATAAGCTGTGGATTTAAGGCTGAATGGGAAATTTTTCATGAGACCGGACAAACTCTGCAGCAAGTGCATCGCCAAACACTATTAATAAGCAAGCATACCCTGGGTTTGTGAAAGGATTTTTTTGTTATGTTGTCATTTTCTGTGTAGACAATTTTTCAATGTAAAAGTAAACTATTTTTGTACAGCTAAAATAACTGGACAGGGAGTCTCGACACGTTCAAGTTACAATGTGCTAAAAAAAGGTGAATCTACTGAACACACTTTTTGACAATTTCACACTTGAGAATTAGCTACTTATTAACACTAATTTGAGAAGAATACATTCAAAAATATTAAATATGATCTAACATAAAAAATTCTATTTAAAATGTTAAAGTGCCATTTATCGCATTTCATGAGACAGAAAAATTGGAAAAGATAACCAAACATATACAACAAAACAATACAAATATATCAAGGTCACAAATGTCACAACTAGCCCTAAATCAAACATTTCGGGTTGAAAAAAACATATGAAACCCACTCTGCCTTATGGCTCGTACACACAGGCCTGATAACTGTAACTAAGTTTTGCCACTCATTGGAAAAATATTGGTTGAAACAATTTTCACTCAGAAATTGCTTGTAAATTTCACAAAAAATCTCAAAGAAATGGCAAGTACACATTCAATTAAATGTGAAGTTTTAAGTGGAAAAGCCGAAATAGTATTTTCTTGTAAAACATAATAATCTTTGTTTTATGTAAAACTTGTTTAGTGTAATTCTATGAAAATAGCAAATTTACAACTATAATGATATTGACACAAATGAACGACAATATTGGAATCAATTTCAGACTAAAAAGACATTAACAGCCAATTAGAAACCAGCTCAAACATTTAAAGTGGTGAACAACATGCAGAGCTTTAATAAACAGAATGTTATTCGCTGGTGTGGATTGGAAGCTAAAATTATTATTATAATAAATAAAGAGTTTATATATAATAGTGTTGATTTCCAGTCAAACAGAGGGGCATTTTAGCCCAAAACAAACTATATTAAACATTAAACAAAGGATACGGACTCCTCAGGTGAGGTGCCTGTCTCTTGTCCAAACGCCTGAGGATGCATCTGATCTGGACTGATGCCATTCAAACACACCTGAGCCTGGCGTGAGAGTGAGGAGAGACAACAAAACAGAGGTGTGTTAGATTTCAGGAGAAAAACAGGACTCAACTGGACTGAGAGAGAAGGCTGTGGAGCATTTCTGCCTCTGAGGGACAGAGAAGCAACAGTCAGCAACCGCTGGAGCAGGAGATTCAGCCAGACAGAACACAAAACCCAGGAGCGGCCATGACACATGATGGACACTAAGAGGCAGAGAGAGCTTGTTTTTTTTTTCACTCCGCCCAAATGTATTAACTATTCTGAACCTGTGCTGGAGGATTTTTAAAGCAAAGGACAGAAGCCATTCCATAAGCTCAAGTGATGTTGGAGCCGCAGAACTGTGTCTGAATAAAGCCCGGCCTCAGTGATGCTCTCCTGTCTGAGTTTGAGACGCAACAAAGTAATGGATGCAACACCGTACAAAGTACAGAACAAAAGTAATACATTTTCTTCATAGAGAAATCGATTTTTTTTTTAAATGTATAAATCAAGTTTATACTATTATGATCTCCAATAAGAACTGTAGTGCGTTCATATGCCATAATGTCATGTTATTTTATAACTTCATGAGATAATATATCAAACAACATTGGACCTCATTGACTTTCATTGTAAAAAAAAAACAAACAAAAAACATTTTTTTTTTGTTTTACCAAAGAAAAAATGTATGTTTGGAGCAACATGAGGGTGAGTAATGACAAAATGCTTATTTTGGGGTAGGCCTCTCTTTAAGGGGTAAAGTATCTCTTTTGCTTTGTTTTATAGTCCCTCTTTTCCATTGTTTATGGTGCCTCGGTAAACGTAATTAAAATGCGGTGACTGTTTAAAGGGAATATATATATATATATATATATATATATATATTTATTTATTTATGGCAATATCAATAATAATAGTTCCAACAAAACCACAGCATCAGTGTTGAATGAATCAGAGTTTTTGGACGAATCGTTTGAGTAAATGATTCAGTGACATCCTCATAAAGGCATTGTAACCCGCAAAAAGAGTGCTGAAAAAGTACTGAAAAATCTTTACCACTGTATCATCATTCATGAATTTCATTGCTTTAAATAAAAGGTTCTAAATATGTGACTCAGGTTTTCAGATTTATTCATGATTTGGTTTAAGGCTTGAACTATTTATTTAATGTTTTTTTTTAATTCCTTATGGATCAAATGAATGAAAAAAACACTCCGCAAACAAAGGTAGTCACAACTGCGCTATACGACTATTCAGCAGCAAGTTTGCAATGATGGAAGTTTGATAAAGGTAATCAGAGCACCTCACAATCAAATGCACAAATACACATGTAAGCTCCAGGGAAGAGCCGCAAGAATGTGTGAGGAGAACTGAATACACTGAATGAGGGGCTGAGAACATTTTATAGTAGAAATAAAAAGGCTGATCTTTCTCGTCCTGTGGTCCAGCTAATTTTCAGACACAAATTAGCTGTGAGCGGATGAATATATGCCAAAAGGTCTTCTTGCGAAGGTTCCCTTTAATCCGTCGACGCATTTTAATTACATTTACCGAGGCACCATAAATAATGGAAAAGAGGGACTATAAAACAAAGCAAAAAAGATACTGTACCCCTTAAAGAGAGACCTACCCTAATTTTTTCTTTGGTAAAAAAAAAAACAAAACATTTTTTTTTTTTTTTTTTTACAATGAAAGTCAATGAGGTCCAATGTTGTTTGGAACCCAATATTCTTCAAAATATCTTGCTTTGTGATCAACCAACATTTTTATTTACTTTTTGAGTGTACTACCCCTTTAAAAGATTAAATGTCCTTAATTAGTATATGCAAAGACATTCTTTTTACAACAAAATCCCTTTGCCACAATGAAGGGTGCAAACAACTCACTCCAGTCAACAGCGTTCAGTTCGAATTAGATCTGATCTGGTGACTGGCTGATTGATCAAGGCAGAGGGGGAAGCAACATTGTCAGTTCTAATCTTCACCAAACGGTCCGGGTGACGTCTCAGTGCTGTGGCACTTCAAACAATGGGGTGTGTGTTTGTTTTGGGGGGTTAATGTTGGAGGGAGGGTCTTTGTATGGAAGCAGGTCGCAAGTGTGGCGCAATGCCCCCACCCTCCTCACATCGTCACCGATCAACCTACTACAGTTGGGGGACGCCTCCCTCCAGATACACTGCATTTGATAAAATAACCCTCAGAAAGTGTAACAATCCAATCTGTCAGCATGCTCGCACACACATAAACTCCCCCCACAATACGAATGGGCAAATAAACATGATTCAAACTCTAGGGTATTCTCACGGGTACCACACAGAAGGCATTTACCGGCCACAATTAGAGGTAAAATAACCAATCTGAAGCATATTGTAATATTCCTAAAACCTTAGAGAACTGATTTTAAATGAGAAAACACACTCGGATGCCTCCGAGCAAAAGCACACACTATAGCATGTACGTGCACTCACAACAAGCAATTTGTCTGATATTGCTCAAAGTGGGAAGGCTTGCTGCGAATGTGCTGTAAACAGGCAGAGCTGAGACCTGACTTGTCATATAACAGCTCCAGAAATCGATCGAGGCCCACTCTCCCCTCTAATCCCCCACACACACGCGCGCGTGGGGCGAGCAGTGGGCTGCTGGACACAGCCCGCAGCTTCTGGGAGTGTGGAGGGGAGAGAGAGAGAGATCGACATCGGGTCGGAGAAGGCGAGACTCTCAGAAAAAAAGGTACAAAAGCTGTCGCTGGGGCGGTACCTTTTCAAAAGGTACACTTTTGTACCTAAAGGGTGCATATTGGTACCTTAATATGCACCCTTTAGGTACAAAAGTGTACCTTTTGAAAAGGTACCGCCCCAGTGGCAGCTTTTGTACCTTTTTTTCTGAGAGGTTGGCACCATGTGCCTGGGATTTCGGCAGAACCTGTCAGAGAAACACTGAGACTGATGGGGAGAGAAGAGCACACAAGAGCAGATTTGAATATGAATCTTTTAAAACACAAAGTGTGAGGAAGATCAAAGTATATGTGTGATCTTAAAGTCAACGAGGAACACAGGCTCAAGGTCTTCCACTTCTATTCGCACTCTTGGATAAACCCCCCCACGCCGCTGTATCACAGCTCCAGGCCGGCAATACTGTGTGTAAAATAGATTCAGCTAGATGAGTTGTATCCAAATTGCTATTGATTGATCTCAGTGGTGTGCAGATTTGCCGGAGGAAAAATCTTAAGGCACTCCTGCCCTCGAGGACCAGGGTCAAGTCAGGCGGTTCTGTGAATTATCAAACCATGACAGAATTCCAATGGCCCCATTTTGAAATTCATGTCTAATGTCGGCCCTCAATCGTGCAGCTAAGGTTTCTTTATACGAATGACTGCTCCCTTGTTGCCTTGATAATAATGTAGAAAACATCTTCACAAACTGTCAAATTTTCTACCTCGATAAAGACTGTTTGTCAAGAGATTTACATGTGGAGCCCATAGGAACATCAATTGCTTAGTCAAAGGATTTTCAATCTTCTCAAAGCCACCGCCTCTTAAACATTATGAATCATAAATGTGATGATCACCTTCTCATGGAGCCCCTTCTATAATGTCAAGTCAAAGTCATTTATTGTCGTATGCACAAGTACCATGTAAAAAGTACAATCAAAATCTGTACTACTACTTACATGAATCAAGTATACAGTACACAAAAATACGCATAGATGCAGAGATAACCAATGTATATATATATATGTGTTATTTATCTCTGCATACTGTATATATATTTAATATATATATATATATATATATATATATATATCAAGCATACTGAATACAAAAAATATACATATATGCAGAGATAACTAATATATATATATATATGAAGAGTTCAGATGCAAAAGCCTCTAAGTGCCATTTGAAATTTTCTTCTAAAATGATCATTTTTATCAAGCTTGTATATTTAAGTTCAGTAATTTCACTTAAATGGCAATGAAGATTACCTATTAATTGTCATTTAAGTGAAATTACTGAACTTAAATATACAAGCTTGATAAAAATGGTCATTTTAGAAGAAAATTTCAAATGGCATTTAGAGGCTTTTGCATCTGAACTCTTCATATATATATATATATATATATATATATATATATATAGTGTTATCTCGTATATAGTGAAAATATTTCTTAAATATATGCAAGCATGTGTGTGTATTTATATATATAAAATAATTATACACAGTGTACTCACATATATTATGTAAACACAAACTTTTATATACACAGTATATATATTATATATATAATTTTTTTCTTTTTTTACTATATTGAGCTGAAACATTTGGAATGCAGTTCATTTATCTGTCTGATTTCAACTCATTTTGGATGAACACTTTGAAGGCTTTCTAATATCAGACAAAACATTTACTTTTAAGACATTGAGCGGTAAATCTTTAAACTTCCGAATGGTCAAAATAAAACAGAGGGTTTGATTTCCGTTGATTCTGAGCATGTATTACATTGATTAGAGATAAATGAGGAGTGGCATTGAAGCATTACCTCAGAGTCTTAGAGCCGTGAGGATCCATAATTCACTACGCGTGTGTATGTACTCATGCATTGGTATTCACATTTACGCTCACTTCAGGGCACGAGAGGGAGGGGACGTAAAGAGATACTACAGGTGCAGGAAACCATGAAGAATCTGAAATAAAGAAGGATCAGGGAAGAAGAATGAGCATGTGACAGTGGACAATGTCATTATGCAGCCTCATAAGATATAAAGTAAAAAATTAACACCTTAAAGTCAACATCAAAACAAAATCCACCCGGTTTACTTTCCTACTAGATTGGTTTTATTCATAAAACTCATGATCTTGTTTTGAACGATTCATAGCATGTTATTCTAATGAAAGAAATATTTTCCTTAGCAATTTTTCTTCACCAATTTTCACTAAAATCGAATACATCGGACATCACCTTTTCACAATTCAATCAATCCCTTTTTTTCATTAAATATCCTGTTTCACTGAGAAAAATGTCACATTATTAAAGAAAACGGGTTAAGAATGCAGTTTCATGTTAATTTTAAGTTTTTAGAGAAAGATCTCTCGTTTTAGCCCAAAAATCGGATGCACACCTTAGTTCTAAAAAAAAAGTTTGATTTTTTTTCCAAGCAAAATTCTAATACGGTGCATTTATCAGGTCACTTCCTCCTCCCCTTACTCACATGCTCTCTATCAGCCATCTCATTGGAATTCTACACACCCTTTGTCTGTCTTATTAGGAACGTCTCTTTGGAGCAATTAGTTGCACCCGTTTCTCTTTCTATATAGCACAGCAAAGCAGCACTCAGTTAAGGAACCTTTAACTTCCATCACGTCTCACAAAGCATTGTCTCTCACTCCCTTTCGTTACTGCTTTTATCAACAGGCTGTTTCCTCCGCTAACCTTATAAGAGTGAAGGCAGATTAAAGCAGAGAGAGCGAGAGAGAGAGAGAAAGGGGGGTTTAGGCGGAGACGCTCGACTGGCTGGCTGACAAACAGAGGGTCCCTCTAGAGTGCAGGCAGAGGAAGAAAGAGAGTAAAAAGAAGAGGAGAGTTTGATGTGGGTAGCCGAGCTCAATCTCCTCCTCATCCCCCCCTCCCCCCTCATTTCAGCAGAAAATCTATGCTCGCTCTCTTAGTATTCCAGCCGTCCTCCTTTGAAACCTCTATAGGCTCGGTCAGACAACTGGGCTGCTGTTGAGGCCTGGGCCAAACGGGAGAGCAGCGGGGTGGTGGGCTTTTTGGAGGGGGGAGAGTGTTTGCTCGAGGCTGTCAGAAGTGACAGGAGGCCAAGCGACTTAAAACCACACCAGGGACTTCAGCTGGACAAGCCCTGTCTCCTCTTTAGCACTCCTTTTTTCTTCTGAATCATCGCTTTCTCGCGCTTTTACCTGTGAATCCGAGTCTCGTCCCAGACTATCACACTCTCTGGTCGTCCTCTTGCAATCACCGACCATGTTCTTGTTGACTATGATTTCACTTTTCTAACTTTAGTTAGTGTGTAATGTTGCTGTTTGAGCATAAACAAAATCTGCAAAGTTACAGCGCTCAAAGTTCACAGCAAAGGAAGAAATTTTGCTATTAAAGAAATCGTTTTTTAAGGACTACAACAAATGGCTGGTAGGGACTACACAACATTCCACCCGGGTTAGTGACATCACAAACCCTAACATTTACTTAAACCCCGCCCCCCCGGAACATGCAGTTCAGGTTGAGAAGAGGAAGAGTTGTTGTAGTAAAGCCCATTTGTGAGTCTCTTTTCACATGCAATACAGTACGTAACACAAATGCAATATCATGACACTCTGTAGGCATCTTACAACAGTTCTCACACAAGCGATTTTATAGATTATCATGACAGAATATGCTAATCAGTGACTTAACTCCACATAAATTCATCAACTAACCATTTAGAAACGTCCTGTTGCATTGCACTTCGCGAGTCTCTCCATCATTGTCTGACTCGCGGTCATATAAAAGGCAGAACAGTTTCTGACATTTTAATGCTCGTCTCCATGAGGTAATCAGAGCTGCTAGCACACACACACACAGGTCAGGAGCTGTTGAAACTCCGCCCTCTGTGCCGGGAGCGTAGAAGTAGCTCATTTGCATTTAAAGGGACACACACGAAAAGACGCGTTTTTACTGACACTTAAAAAGGGACAACTTTATCATGCTGTACAAAATTATCCGAGGGGTCTAAAACTTCACATACACATTCTGGGGACAACAGAGACTTATTTTAGATATTGTAAAAAGAGACATTATACCACCACTTTGACGCTGGAACACTCGAGGCAACTTTTGCCCAGATTTTTTTGCCCAGTGACGGCTTTTGTACTTTTTTTCTAAATTACTTCTAACAATTCTTGCCTTGTAAAACAATAGGGGATTTAACGTCTAATGTTTAAAATGTATGATTTGAATGTAACCTCCCTTTAAATACTTTGATCAGTTCAAAAATAGTTTACACAAGTTTTAAATATTTATTTGACACAATTAAAGGTGCAGTTTCATGTCTATCCTTGTATTTAGAAAGTAGCCTAATTAGCCCTAAATGCAAAACTTTTTAGAGAGTATTATTAGTAGGGCTACAGTAATCTAACACTGTTGAAGATGTAATTAATTAGTAGGGGGGTACAGGAAAAAAATGAGCCCCCACATACAGTAGCTACAGCTATAATCTTTACAAACATTAAAAACATGGCATTCACTGGACAAAAACTAACTTTATTTGAGCTTGATTTTGGCGAAGTGTTAATATAATGACATGCAAGTAGTGATCACATAAAGCCACAATTAACAAGTCAATTAATTAAGTCAATTAACACCAAATGACTTAAACTGCAGGATATAATTTCTTTCAGTAATATTTGTCCAGACTTCCGAATTAAGCAAATTTGTGTACTTGAGGTTAGTGAAACTTAAGTATCATTGCTGAATTAATGTCTATGACATCACAGTGATTCAGATCGTTGATGAAAGGGTACTTATGCCTGCTGTGGCGGTCTATATAGTACAAAGAGTTTAGGAAACGCTGTCTTAGTAGTCAGCACATTTGGAACACTGAAAATGCTGTCTAGATCGGCAGCTCACAATGTTTTGCAACAGATCAAATGTTGTTATGTTCCGCACTGGTGCAAAACACAGTTCTAACCCACTTTAACAACCCACAATGCACTGATTCCAGGCATGCAGTCCCACATCTCATCCCCAACTTCGACCACCCCCAAATTCCCTCTTCTCTCTGTCACCTTGAGCCTTGCCGTCATGCTTCTGTGATCGCTCTAAAGGTCAGCGCATGTAGCCACTGTCATTACCTGTCACTCTCACTCCCTCCCTCGTTCTCTCGCTCCTCAACCACCTCTCTGTCATGCATTTCATTCCTAAGCTCTGGAAGACAGATCCAAGTGCCATCCTTAGTTGTGCTTTGAAGGTTACAAGCGGATAGGGGTGATCTCACAGCAGAGTTGAATGAGAGACAGGGAAACATTAAATGGAACAGGAGGTGGCTAAATGTTCTGGTGTAAGTGACAGTTATTCGGTGGCTCAGAATTAGCGTGGATATCCATCAGTCTGCCACTTACAGCATTAGGCTCCTATTTGCATCCAGGACACCTATTTAGGGTGAGCTGGCAGGTTAGAGAACCAGCTGGAGTTAGCCAGTGGGGGAGATGTAGCCTAAATGTCCTTTTAAAACTCTATAACAAGCATTTATAATGTAGAAATCATTTGGTCCTTAGTTTAGAAACTAATTGTAATACACATTTTGTAATAAAGTAAACTGAAGTAAGAGTCGAGTGTGAGATGCTTTACAAAGCCCTTAGGCTACGTTCACACTGTCAGTCTAAATCTGGTCTAGTTGTACTATCCAATTGGAATCTGATCTAAAATGATTGACTGGTCACATGTTTCGCAACTGTTCCAATATGATTTGTTTGTTCCGCTCTTTTGTTTTCCGGAATATCTGGTTTCTATGACAATGATGTTGCGTTGTTGGTATACCAACAACAACAACCGCAACGGGGTTCGCAATACAGATGTTTTCTGATTTACAACATGACAATGTAACCACTCTGGGCTACTGAGCCAGTGGAAAAAACGTAGGAGGCTGGTACACTGCTTTATTCCGAATCTTCTCCACCAATTTCAAAACATGTCTGCATTATTTTGTCATTTTCTGCTCGTCCGGCACTTTTCAACAACACATAGCCTGCTTACCAACACACCTCTCAAACCAACATTTCTGCTGTGACTTTCAGCATGTTTCCTATAACAGTGTCGGACGATTACGTTTTACGTGGCGTGAGAAAGTCATATAACCAAGCACAATCCGATCATAACAGAAACGGATTTCCAGAAATACGATTTGAATAAGATTTTAAACCACATGGATGTAGCTTGAAACGGATTAAAACAAAATAATTCATATGATTTTTTGCCATTCACACTTGCGGATATGCACAAAAAAATCGGATTTGGACAGAGTCTGAACGTAGCCAATGTGGACGTCAATATCAGATTTCAATCATACACAAATAATCGGATTTGACTGACAGTGTGAACGTGGCCTGAATGAAGCCTTAGAGGGATAATTTACCTGAAAACTTTCCTTACCTTAAAAAAATTCTTTTTAGCTTAAGAATCACTGAAACGGGATTATTGAGTCAAACTTTTGAGCTTGATTCAGTTTACAAATAGGACTGACCATGTTTCCATGCACTCATATTTGTCAGTCGGAATGAATCCAATCTGAGTTTATTCTGAAAGTTCTGAAAAACGTTGGACAGACGTTGCATTTTAAATGGATATGAAAATCGGGTTGACGTCATAACCCGACGTCAGTCTGTCGTCAACATCCAACGTTGGACAGATGTTGCATTTTGGTTGGAAATGAAAGTCGGGTTGACGTCATAACCCAACGTCAGTCTGTCGTCAATATCCAACGTTGGACAGACGTTGCATTTTAAATGGATATGAAAATCGGGTTGACGTCACCCAACGTCAGTCTGTCGTCAATATCCAACGTTGGACAGACATTGCATTTTAATTGGATATGAAAATCGGGTTGACGTCATAACCCAACGTCAGTCTGTCGTCAATATCCAACGTTGGACAGACGTTGCATTTTAATTGGATATGAAAATCGGGTTGACGTCATAACCCAACGTCAGTCTGTCTTTAATATCCAACAATGGACAGACGTTGCATTTTAATTGGATATGAAAATCGGGTTGATGTCATAACCCAACGTAAGAGTAACGTTGGATTCTGACGTCAAACCCGATTTTCATATCCAATCAAATTGCAACGTCTACCCAACGTTAGGTAGTTGGGTAAACGTTGCATTTCCTACCCAACTGTCCAACGTAAATATAACGTCATATTGACGTCCAGTGCCTGCTGGGTTGAGACATCAATCAACCGCCCGGTTATTTGGTTGCATGTAAATGTAGGCCTCACTAGGGATTTCAATCAGCAATTGAATTGTTCTTTTGAGCTGGTTCTGTTTTAATGAACAGTTGGATACAAGTAGAACTGAAAGAACTGACTATGGTGTCACCTGTTGTGTATGTAAAAGTCCTTCTCAAAGATTGAAACTCTTTTTTAAAGGAAGTGGGTAAATAATTTTCAGTTTTAGTAATCTCTGTTTAAAAAAGACAGTCATAATCAAAACTGACAATACTTAGAGGTGATGGAAAGGCAGAACAGAAACTGCTAAAGCAAAGCAAACACAGGTGTGTCTTTTTATCAACTCGGAGGTAAGGACTAATCAATGGCAAACTTTAATCAGATATGATCAATAATTCATGGCCTGAGGCCTGGCCATCCCATCTCTAAACCATTCTCATACTGACGGCACAGGATGAATAATTCAGACACCATTTACACAAAACCAAGCACCATCCTGATGCCAGATTACTGAATTAGAAATATTATGCAACAAAGAATGTTAATTAGACTGGAGCAATCCAGCCTGTCTGAGTCAAAAAGAAGAAAGATGAACTAATAGGCTGCGTTATATCATTCAACAAATGTTTTTGGGTCTGCTGTGCTCTTTCCTACAATAAATAAACAGTACATTTTGATATAATAAGTTGAGTTTCCTCACAATTTATGTTTAAAAAAATATATGAGAGGTCACTACAGACAAGCAAACTCAAACAAATCAACGGACAAATACAGATATTTATGGCACTGTGATTTGAAAAGTGGTCATGAATTAAAAAGTGAATCACAAGCTGAATCACGTAACTTTGCAACGGCAGAGAGAGAGAGAGAGAAGGGGGGTAGATGGATGAAGCGTAAGCGAGAAAGTGTAATTCTTGTTTGCCTCAATTTATCCTGAAATCCCTGACAGCAAGCAACCATAAGTCACCAAATAATCGCTCTCGGTAATTTAAAAAGATCACTCATGTCTCCTTTCACCTTCCTTTGCCTTGGTCTCTTTATCTAGCTCAGATATCAGCGTATGGAAGTCAAAACACAGTTCATTCATAAACTCAGAGCTTAGTCCATTTTGTTCATTTTGTTCTTTGAAATATGGTTAAAGTTACTGCTGAATGTACTGACAAATATTTATGCTAAACTAAAATATACCTTAATGCATTTCTAATGAACCTTAGTCCATGCTTGTTTGAACATGAACACAGCTAATTCACATAAATCTATACAGTAAAGCCTTGCAAAATTGCGATTTATAGCAATATTGTAGATGAGCAAACACACATATTCAATGTTGAACAATGAATAGACATCTGGGCAACAAATCAACGAAGGGTAGTGGATTGTAAAAGTAAAAAAAAAAAAAATCTCTGCAGTTAGGCATTTATGGTGAAGTTATGTATTTAAAGGCCCTTTCATGCATGTTGTGTGCTTATTTTAGTGATTAGAGAAATGCACACTGAACAACAAGGTGTAAAGCGTGCGGGGTGACCGAAGCTGAAGAATTGAGGCTATTGGTGTGAAACTGAGGAAAGGATTTCACAGTCTGAAACATGATGCTCATGCATTTACAGGGAAGAGTTCTAATGAGGGCTCACGGTATTGATATCTCCATGGGAACATCCCAGGGCACAGCTTACAAACCACACTCTATTGTGACATTTGTTAGTTCACCCAAAAATGAAAATTCTGTCAGTAATTACTCACCCTCATGTTCCAACCCTGTATGACTTCATCTTCGGAACAAAAATTAAGATATTTTTTAATTAAATCTGAGAGCTGGATCATAGGCTTCTTAAAGGGATAGTTCACTTTGAAATTAATTGATGGTATGTTTTTAGCTTACCTCAAGGGCATCCAAGATGTAGGCGTCTTTGTTTCCGCAGTATTTTGATCATTTTAGGTCAAACCGTTCTTGTCCGTCAGTCATATAATGGAGGTCTATGGTCACCACCTCAAAGATAAAGCACATAGAAGTCCAGATTAAACATGATTTAATGACTCATAAATGTAAGTACACATTGATGGCCTGAGAAAACGAACAGTATTTATATCGTTTTTACCTCTTGTAACCACAGCCACGTCCAAGTGATCTGAGGGCGATGTCTTCCTTTGGGCCGGCCAGTTTAGATCCCTTAATAAGCCTATGGAGGAGTGATCCAGCTCTCAGATTTAATGAAAAATGTCTTAAATTGTGTTCCGAAGATAAATGAAAGTCTTACGGGGTTGGAACAACATCAGGGTGAGTACTTAATGACAGAATTTTAATTTTTGGGTGAACTAACCCTTTAAATGTACAAACTGCTAACTGCAGTGGAAAATATGAATGTAATCTCTATGATGCTTGAAAATGCAGAGGCAAATAGATGATTGCATTTTGTCTTGGGGTGGAAGTAAATAATTTGCATTAATCTAAATATTTGGATGGACAATTATATTTATTGTAATTTTTTAACGTAGCCTAGGCTACACTCTTAGAAAAAAAAGGGTTCTATATATGTAGCATAGGGTTCTTTACTCAACTCCAAAGGACATTTTATGCTAAAAAAGGTTTAATAATGACAAGAAAGAACATTTTTGGTACAAAGGTTCTTTAAAGGCTATTATTCATTCATATATTACATTATTCTGCAACATTTTGTAGTTGTTATTAAATTATTGTTTATTTGTAGTAACTTAATATCACATTTTAATCATGCTGATTTTTGGAGGAGAAAAACTGAAAAGGCACTATTCGTGTGATATCGATTAATTACATTTTTTAATTACACCATATCTTGAATTTTGTAATCATTCACATGCATTTCATTTTAGGGCTTCCAAATATGTAGCGCTTTAAAACCTTTTAAGGTTCTATATAGAACTTTTTCTTCTAAGAGTGTATCACTTGTAAGTTTAATTGGATATGGCTTTAAAACGCATGCAAAGGATAACTTTCATAAGGATGAAATACTGCAATCTCACGTGAGCTTGAGCGTGAACACCAAACAGATCGTTGGTTCGTTTTTGGCACAGTATCCAAGGCACAGGCACAGTGCTATTCTGGATAGGGGCGGGGAGTAGCAGTTCATTAGCATTTAAAGACACATGCATGAAAACAGCGTTTTTCCTTCAACTCAAAATGGGCATTTACAACATTGTATAATAAATAATCTATGGGGAATTTTGAGCTGAAACTTCACAGACACATTCTGGGGACACCTGAGACTTATATTACATCTTGTAAAAAGAATAGATCCCCTTTTAAATTTCCAAAATATTTTCTCCAACTAATAAAAAATATAATATTATTGTAAAGAGGGTTTGTCAGGTCTCAGAATTTCCTCAGAAGATCTTTGTGAACGTGTGTTTGTTTGTGTGTGTGTGTGTGGTTGCCTCACCCACAGACCACGCACCCCTGTCATGTTCCTGTCACATCTGGAGCTGAGAAGAAAGATGAGTCCTCACGCAGAATGACACAATGTCTCAATGTGACTGATAGAAAGGTAGAATGTGTCTGCAGCACTGGAGAAATCAATCCTTCCCTTCGTCTGCCCTCTCCCTCCCTCAAAGCTGAACCCTCCCCACCATGACAACTCTTTTTTTTTTTTTTTAATCGGCTCTTTTTTAGCGTTTTTACTGCAATTAAGGCAAAGTTCATTTCATTGTCAAGAATTCTACTCTTTTTTCTTTGAAGAGGTGAGTCTGGGTCTCAATCCAGCTATTGTGTGTGTGTGTGTGAAACACGGACAGATGTGTACGGGCCTCTTGAGGGATTCTTTGTGAAAATGTTGTTGTGTATTTATTTTTTTATGTGTTATGACACTGTTTGGACTGTGCGGCTGATTTCCATCCCCCGTGAGGCTTTGAGCTTTGTCTGCCTGGATTCGGGGGCGGTAAATAAGTGGTAATGGAAGTGAATGGGAGGGACTTGGGGAGCACTCTCTGTCATCACTTTAGAAGGTTGTGACCCCAGAGCGCAGTGACACCGAGCTGCTAAATTATTCAGCCGTCGTCTCATGCAGGGCCTCGGGAGGAGTCTAGGCTGTGATTGCTGGAAGCTGACTGACTGACATTTGCACATGAAAATCGGCTTGGTTTTCCCACTCCGAACACTGGTGCTGCTTAAGAAAAACAGCACAAGGCCTCTGCGGGGAGACGGAGGGCAAGGTACTGTAATGAAAGCACCCCATCTGACTAACGCACCGCACAAGGCCTGCCAATGAGAACGGCCTTGTGAGATGAGTGGCAAAAATCATTTAAAGGCATCTTTCGTTTATGGATTTGACAGCTTCGGCAAAGCAGTTATTAAACATGCAAAGTGCTAGGGGTAGAACAGATCATAGTCGATCCGCGATCCGTACGGACCAGGTGTTGTTCAGCACGCATGTGATTTGCAGATTAATTGGTTAATTGCAGATTAAGGTTGCATTATAAAGTGAAAGCTTATCATTTGCATTTGTTTTTGTCTTGCCAATTCACACATTCATGCAATTTAAAACCATTGTAAAGAGGCGAAAGACACAAAAAGGTGAAACGCACATAGAGAGGTGTGATTCAGATTAGAATTGATTCCTTTTTTGTGTCTTCTTGCACTTGAGCATGCAGACATACGCACAGAATAGTATGCTAATTGTTAAGGAAATCACTAAACTAATGCTGTTAACTACAAGTATATTAATATTAATTAATATTAGACTAAAATTAACAGTGCAGCTCAAACTGTTAAAGGTGAATGGGAGGAATATGACCACATCTAGAAGTCCTTCTGATTGTTACAGCCTTACAAGTGTTGCTGTAAGTCTTCAACCCAAAAGCCCAAGGAAGTCAATACTGGGCAAAATTTCTCGTTGTTAGAATTCCCTTTCATTTCAATGATGATGCTCCGCTGGTGGTTGATATCTGCCTTCTTTGATATCTTAAGACCTGATAAGCTGATGTTTATACAGTATGGTCACGACTGTTCAAAAGTTTGGGGGTCAAGATTTTTGGACAATATTTGTATTTAGCAAGGATGTAGCCTATTAAATTGATCTAAAGATAATAATGTTACAAAATGATTTTTTTTTTAAATGCTGTTCTTTGGAACTTTATATTAATCAAAGAATCCTGAACAAAATGTACCACGATTCCCTCAAAATATTAAGCAGCTCAACTGTTTTCAATATTGATAATAATGAAAAATGTCTCATTAAGCAGCAAATCAACATATTAAAATGATTTCTAAAAGATCATGTGACACTGAAGACTGCAATAATGATGCTGAAAATTCAGCTTTACCATAACAGGAATAAATTACACTTTAAATTATATTAAAAATAGAAAACAGTTGTTTTAAATCCTAATTCACAGTATTACAGTTTTTACTGATTTTTTGATCCTACAAAAAAAGTTTGAATTGTTATGCATGTATATGTGTGTGTATATTTTATATGAAGAGTTCAGATGCAAAAGCCTCTAAATGCCATTTGAAATTTTCTTCTTTAATGATGATTTTTATCAAGCTTGTATATTTAAGTTCAGTGATTTCACTTAAATGGCAATGATAATTACCTATTAATTGTTATTTAAGTGAAATTACTGAACTTAAATATACAAGTTTGATAAAAATCATCATTAAAGAAGAAAATTTCAAATGGCATTTAGAGGCTTTTGCATCTGAACTCTTCATATATATATATTATTTTAAAAATATTGATAGATAATCAGCTGATATTGATATAAAGTGCATTTCTAGTATGTAAAGTAAAGCATATAGTTACTATGGTTACCTCTGTTTGCAAAGGTCAGTTTGGCAGAATAAAAAAATCATTATTGGATGAAGTCTGAAGTTACTGAAATAGTCCTGTAATATGTCGCATCAAACCTTATTTAATACTAGTAAGATCCTCCAACAGTTTGTTTTGACATCCTTTGGGGGGTTGATTCCAGAAGCCCGATTTGATTTTCCAACCCCTAAATCCTCTAATAATTCACAGCTGCTTTATGTTAAGTTTTAGTGTTGCAGAGCTGATACTTTACTCCTCCTTCAGGTTTGGGTTTATGCAGCCTGACAGATATTGCCCATGTATATTTGATTTCCTTTGAGACAAGTCTTCGAATTCAGAGTGTCAGGGTAATGAGACCAAGTCCAATTAGTTAATCCTCTGAGCCAATAAAACCGATAGGCAGTTTGTACAGGGTGAAATGTAAGTAAGAGGCTGTTATTTGTGTTTCAGCTGCTGTATACTGTAGCTGAGGGATGACACTTATGCGATATAGGCCTACTTGTTTAAGATAAAGACCTTTTTTATTCATGGCCTTTATCACTCTCATCTTCTTTAGATCGGAGATGATGACTTTTGCAAATAAATAACAAGCGGTGCTAACATTTGAGCAAAATGCTTGGGATTAGTCTCCGAGTCCTCTAAGATGAATGTGGACTTAACGAGAGCAAGTCGTGCCGCTGCAGACTTTCAGCATGCTTGACCATGTCTCTCTGTTTGAGAGAGGGAAAGCAAGGGATAAGTGGACAGAGAGAGGGAGGTACAAAAGGGAAGGAGAGAGAGGGAGAGAAGGGGGTTAGAAAGACACAGAAGGGGTGGAGTGCAAGGCAGATGACAAATTGTGATTAATAAATGTGGTCCGGGACGGCAGTGTGGAACGATGCTTATTAATGGAGAGAATTAGAGTGGCTGTGCAACTCAATCTACACACTGTCACTCTGCATCAGGCACCATGATCAGAGTCTAATGAAACAGCACAACAGAAACACGCGCTCACACTCACACACACACACACACGCACACACACACACACACAAACTCATCTACATCAACATCCCCAGTATCACTTTACAATAAGGTTCATTTATTAAACATTAGTTAATGTGTTAACTAACATGAACTAAACATGAACAATACATGTTACTGTTTTTGTTAATCTTTTTTAACGTTAGTTAATACAAATCCAGCTGTTCATTGTTTGTTCATGCTAGTTCACAGTGCATTAACTGATGTTAACAAGATTTTAATAAAGTATTAGTAAATGTTTAAATTAACATTAACAAAGATTAACAAATGCTGTAGAAATATTGCTCATTCTTAGTTCATGTTAACTTATGTAGTGTTATCCTTATTTATATATAAATATTATTTGACAGTAAAAGATCCAGACACAAAGACTAGATTTTAAACATTCTTAAATCTACATTAGAAGCAAAAATGCATCAAATATTGAGAATATTTTTAGAGAATATATCTTTAATCGGACTTTATTTTATAATCATTTTTTATTTAGATCATTTATTTTAAGATCCTAAGTTATTTGTTTTTTTAATCTTTTTTTCTTTGATCTTGTGTTTTTTTTACTAGATAATAATTTAGAAAATTAAATAATTTATTTTAGATAATCAATTTTACTGCAATATATATATATATATATATATATATATTATATATTTTTTTTTTTTGCAGTGCACATAAACAAAAACAGACACTGTCCCTGACCTTTAACTTCACGTCATTTTTCCCTCACACACTCAGGAAACACACAGATATAAATCTTACATGTATTTTTATCTGTTTTTGCATACACCAAAGTGAACTCTCCATAAGCCAGCATCTAATTACATCCTTTCATGCACATGCCACAATGAATCCCATTCCTCCATTATACCTTATTCCAGAAACAGAGTGAAAGTCTAAAAGGCTTTTGTTTCAGCACTTGGTGATGTTTTATTAATCTTTTTTTTCACCACCATAACCCTCAAAGGCACTGATCTATATGCTGTTATATTTCAGATCGAGATCCGTTCTTTTCCTTCAGGGGAGAGGTCAGGTCACCGCTCCTTTGGACAATTGGGAGACACCATAAATATTCCCTGTTTAACTGTGTGTTAATTCATGTCCTAATTACTTTTTACTGCCCAGTGGTAATCTCATTATCCAAAATTTGACATAAATAACAGCATCAAAATCATTCTTCACACCTACTCGGTGACACGGGTGGATCTATGTGCACAATCCATGTCTCAATTAATGTCACGGCTACTCTCATGGGATCTTGTCTCGGTAATGATTAGTGAGTCTGTACGTGTTCATGTGTAGTACACTTGTGTTTTTCTTGTTATTTTCCATCAATTTAGTGATGGAGGCCTAGTGCATATAGATGTAGCCTAGCCTACCAAAACGACAGATAATGGAGAGATTTTTTTTTAAATAGATTGCTCTTGCCAGGTCAATATTGTTGAGATATTCTTTATACCTTCTAAAATTGTAAAATTGCGCAATGTACATCAGTATGAAGTACACCTTTTAAAATGTATTTGGTTTATACTTTATATCACACAATGTAACTTTGTTTTTTTTATGTTACACAGAATTGCTTTTTCTATTTTTTTTGTTGAGGTGGAAACAGGGTTCAATATTTTTTTTTATTTTATATTTTTATCTTGTTTTGATGTATTATTTGACTGAACTGCTAGTAATTGATAGTTTAAACACTAACCAAACAAAACCTTTACACCTTGCACCTTTACATTGAAGACTAAAAATTAGTCAGATGCAACATTACTCAAGCCTATCTTATGACAAAAATGATTAGCTAAAGACATTGCCATTTTAAAAGCATCTTTTCCAAATACATTGACACTACTTACCCCACTCTCCCCTTTATGATCGAAGAAAAATAATAGAGAAAGACGGTATGGTGAAACGAGACCTGAAAAAAAAAAAGGAATGAGAGACAGACAGCTCAGAGACATGTGCATTTTTCAATATTAATCATCTCAGTAATATTTTAACAGCCACTAAAAATCCAATTCTCGCAATATTGCCTATGTCTCCTAGCGATTATTATAACACCCATTGTGGTTAAACCCGCACAGTGTGTGTGTGTGTGTGTGTATTTCTATTGGAAGGTATCTGACTGACACACAAAGTGGGAGTGACAGTGTTTAACTCAACACTGTAACACAAATACTCTTCTCATGGGAGCATCTTTCTCACATTTCTCTCCCGTCTCTGTCCACTTCTACTGTTCTTCTCTCCCCGACACTGGTCTTATGGAAAGGGTGGCCGGAAAATGTCAATATCCAATGTCCAAAACTGCTACTTTTCAGGAAAACACTGTATTTTTTTTTTAAATAAAATAATTAAAGACAGTGTTGTCAAAGTTATTATTGTGGCTTTATGGCCAGATACTAAGAACAGAACATTACGCTTTTATCAACTTACAGGTTAGAAAGTTTATTGTAGCTTTGTATATGCTCAGTTTTTACTGTCGTTTGGCCAAAATCTCATGTCATATAAAATGGCGTATTACACACAAGCTATTTAAGACAGTATTTGCTATATCCTATAAAAGTGTGTTTGTTTGTGTGTGTTTCTTGAGTAAAGAAAATGCTGTATTTATATTTACCCATGCATTGCAAACAAGCAAAGATGGTCCAAAATGTGTGCGGCACTTCATCGACTGATCTTCCAATTTTTCTTACAGCCCCTGTACAACCTCATTAAACTTTAAAAATTCAGATGTGTGAATACACCTGACAGGGAGCAAGATGGGATGAGTTGCACTGAATTCTCAACGGATCTGCTACTAGACCCAGTATTTAAACACCGTAGCCGCCTTCAAACAGACTGCAAGAGGATGCAATTCAAAATCTGCATGAAATCCAGGGGGAGGATCTCCCACCTTACATATACCTAAACCTACCCATCTCTGCCCCCGATCCCTAACCCCACCCCTTATCCTATCCATCTCCACCCCTTAGATCTGGATTCAACTCCGCCCGCTGGATCTTGTGTACTGCAATGAGGTGCTACTCGAAAATTTGCATAAATGTGATTATTTTGCCTATTTTATGGTTGAGTCAGTTTTAGAAATCTATTGAAATTTGAAAAAAAGTTACCTTTTCAAACTATTCTACATCTATAATATAATCTGTAGAAATGATATTCCATAGATAGATAGATAGATAGATAGATAGATAGATAGATAGATAGATAGATAGATAGATAGATAGATAGATAGATAGATAGATAGATAGATAGATAGATAGATAGATAGATAGATAGATAGATAGAAATTGAGAAAGAGGGAGAGAGAGGGAGAGAACAATGGTCTCAGTGTCCTTCACTAATGAGCTCTCAAAGCTATGAAACCGAGCCACACACACAATAACATCGAGAAGTCACAGTGCTCCATTCTTAACCCAAACAGATAGGCTAGATGCTTTTTCTAATCTAAGCCATCCACAAAGGTGTTGTTGTTTTTTTGTAAAAAAAAAAAAAAAAAAAAAAGCGTATTTTTTTTAAAACCCAAATAGGCTGCTGACGTGATAAACGATTAACATTTACAACATTTCCCGGTTTTAATTATGATTAAGTTGGAAAAACAACAAACTGAAAACCAAGTGCCCTCCCGGACCAGAGAGCGTATTTGTTTGTCGCACGCGCGCTCTAGGCAGCTCTCAGAATCAGTGGCGTTGAGACAGAGCCAGTGAGAGGGGCGAGGATGAGACGAGATGGGATGGAGGGAGGGAGGAGTCGACCGGATGGAAGAATGAGGGGGCAGTGTGAGTGTGTGTGTGTGTGTGTGTGTGGAGTGTGAAAATCTCACAGGTGTCGGAGTCAGAAGTCCAGCGCTGTACGTTGCTGTATGGCTATGCCTTTGGACTAAACGAACGGCAAAAGCGGAAGTTTCACTCACGCGCAAAGTCATTAATAGTTCGCGGAATAAATAAGGTCAGAAGTGATAGTGGCAACTTAATGAAGTCATCTTACCCTATTTGACTGGTTAAAGCATTTAAAATCGATATTTCTGCGATTCACTCTATTGTTGGAGTAAAGAGAGGCGTCTTCATTTGCACATGAATTACATTCGCCTTTAATTTGCTCCGGAATTCGGCAAATTTAAGGACAGACATCAGAGGAAGGTTTTTAATCCTAAAGATCTCACATTAACACCGAAGTCAGGGTAAGTGTCCATTTAATACATTAGTGTAGCATACATAAAGTTACTCAATTGTGTCTTACTTTCACATGTGTTATTTTACGTGCTTCACTTACTATATAGAACAATCAGCCTGGAATTTATTTAAAAATATATATCAGTCTAATTTATTCATGTCTTGTTTTTATTTGTGAATATTTCTCCTTTTTAGGCCAAACCTTTTGCAACAAAAACGTAATGCCAGTTGCCATTCAGGGGTCATTTTGATATAAAATTATAAAATATAATGACATGTTATGCTTACTGGATATTGCAAAAGAATAAAGCAATACAACTTTCAGCATGTTCAATTTAGGATATATAATGTGATATTAAATGTACCTTAACAGAGTTTCTCTATTGTCTTTTCATGTCTTTTCCTCCAGTTCTGTGGATTTTTCCCAGTCCCGCCAGAGCAACTACAGTGGTCTTCCATATGTTCCTAAAAAAATAAATAATAATACATTTCTGAAGGATCAATACATTGTGGCTCATCGGGTTTTGGTGCAGGGCGTTGGACACTTTTTATTGAGCAGAAGCATTTTAGTTCATCAGTTTATTTTAAAACGTGGAAGATTGGATTGACAGATTCTTTTGGCACATCTTTCAGGTCTTTGGGTTGGACTTAATTAGAATTTGGTTGGACAAGCAGCTTACTTTGCAATTTAATTGAGCCCTTTACAAACTGAATTTCAATTGCTCAATTGCACTTGGCCAGGAGCTTGAACTGGAAAACCTCAAAACAGGTTGTTGCTGCGTTCACTTATGCAAAAGAGAAACCTCGAAGAGGTTGTGTATTGGATAATTATCTGTAGGTCTAATGTTAACAAGCCAGGGGATGAATGTAAAGATGTGTGTTGTTATTAGCCACGAAACTACAACACTTTAAAAATACTGTATTGCATTGTATTGCAATTGTCCCCGTAAATTAGCTTGCCAACAGCCACCTTGTTGTCCTGTAATCATCTTTTATTCTTTGCTGTGCCACACCTTTCTGTTGCACTGTTCCATTTCGTTCTTTAGATCTTCCTTTCAGTCTCCACTCTGTCCTACCTCTTGTCCCATTGCACCCTCTCATTTCTGTATGCTCCACTCTCTTCTTGGTCTTCTTGTCTCATCCATAAATTCATCTGCTATCCTTCTCCCCATTGGCCTCATTCCTCTATAGATATCTTCGGTGGGGCTGTTTTTCTTTGTTAGTGAGTTTTTCTCAAACTCCACTGTTCACGCTGGCGGGCACCATTCCATCTAAAGGAGAGGAGGACTTTCTAACGCTTGCTGCCTCCCGGCTCAGCCGCCGCAAGCGTGTCATTGGAGCGGGCGTGGGTGTGGCCATGGTTCTGATCCTCCTGGTCACCATTCCTTTACTGGTCCACAACACTAAAGGAGGAGGAGCTGGCGGTGCAGGAAGTCATTATGAAATGCTAGGAAGTTGTCGGATGGTTTGTGACCCCTACACCACTCCTCATGGCCAGGAGCTAACGGCTGTATCACCCGCACCTCCTGATTTCCCAAACCGGAGAGGGAAATCTGGTTTTCGGGGACCACCGGGGATCCCTGGACCGCCTGGCCCACCTGGAGAACCTGGAAAGCCAGGTCCACAAGGGCCCCCGGGTCCTGGGCCTGGCGGTTATGTGCCGTCGTTCTACAGCCCTAAGATTGCATTTTACGCAGGCCTGCGCAAGCAACACGAAGGCACTGATGTGCTGAAATTCGATGATGTGGTGACCAATGTTGGCAACTACTATGAGCCCAGCACTGGAAAGTTCACATGCCCTCTGCCTGGTATCTACTTCTTCACTTACCATGTCCTGATGAGAGGAGGAGATGGGACCAGTATGTGGGCAGACCTCAAGAAGAACGGACAGGTAAGAATTTATCCCTATTTATAAAAATTGTTTGTGGTGGAAATGAAATCTTCAGCTCAATTGCTTTAAAAATATAGTGCACCCAAAAATTCATTAATAAATTCATTATCTACTCACCTTCATGTCCTTCCAATATGACTTTCCATCCTCTGCAAAAACACAAAATGAAGTTATTTGAAATACTTATTTTTACTGTTGTTTATCTATACAATGGTAGTCAGTGGGGGATTTTTCAAAAACATCTTCTTTGTCAAGAAAAACATGAATGGTTTGAAACGACATGAGGATGTGTGAAGGATGACACAATTTTAAAAAAAAAAAGGAAATGGTGAATCATTTTTTCAGCTATCTTTTTCCTTTATTATGTACATTATGTGTGCAGTCAAATGAAGAAAGTACTTTCTCTTAGTCTCAATTCATCATATTGGGCTTCACCACTAAGGTCATTTTCATCTAGAGGAGTCAGAATAGTTAAGATGATGAGCTTTTTCCTATTAAATTTCCTATTATACAATTGATTACCATCCCACTAAACAACATGGGTGCAAATTGGATGCTGTTGTACTGTTTTTCAAGGCTGACAGAAAAGGCCACTGAAAGGGAAAACCGTGACATAAAAATGTGTGTGTCCAGACAACCTCAGCTGCATTTCCATATGTTTTGACAATTTAATAACTAAAATAAACATCATATATTTACATTTCACTCACCCCCTAAAAATGTGTCATACGACTCAGCATGGCAGAGCTGTCGTGCGTGGTGTGGTCTAGTGCCAGTTTGCACATCAGATGAATAATGAATGCATGAAAATTTGACAGTTTCAACACTCGGTCATTCATTCCCTAGACATTAATTAAAAACTGAAGGCAGGACAAGAAAAGGTTTATCTGTAGTGGTTTTAAGTGATTGTGTGACCTTTGTGGATCAAGACCCACTCTTGCAGCTTTTTATTGGACAGGCAATAGTAACATGAACAGTTTTACCTATAAAATGTTTATTTATATTACACTGTGCAATGAAAGCCAAGTGTTTTGTTGTAAAAAAAAACCCAACAACGTCTGGCTTAATACAGTGGACCACCCGTAAAAGTGATTAGAGTGATAGTAGATTAAATTGGTCTGACCTGTACAGTTTTGTATTGTCATGCAAGTCTGCTTCCTCTGTTAAATCATTCATAACTCTTAGATTGAATCCCCTGAACGCTGTACGTGCCCCCCTTCTATTGCATGTTCATTGATTGCTCATTAATTATCTTTTCAGTCCACTCAATTACGTCCATTTCGAGCACATCAGGTGGCCCTGCTTCACTCTTCTGTAGGGCCTGAAATGTAATAGAGAAATGTGTGGTTTAAACGCTCACTACACCAAATAAACTGCAGATGGAATCATCAGATACTTGCCCAAGCACCTGAAAAACAGTCAACAGTCCATTTGTGACACAAATCACGATTGTTGTAGCCTGTGAGATTTTAAAAAAGCTCATAGGATGAGAATGTGCGCAGCTACCTAATGGAAAGTACACAGCATGTAAAAATGAAAAGGATGCTAGATATTTTGACAGATGCTGAGAGACCGGAATTCTCTGAAGTGTCATCTGAAAGCAGACAATGGTCCGTCGGGATTAGGAGGTTTATGTTAATTTGTAAAAGGTTACTTTTGAATGCTGACAAAATGATGTTCAAACAGCCATGTCTATTGAATATTATAGACCAGTTTCCCCAAACACAAGAGTTCAGTTAAAAGGTTTTGAAGTGGAGAATCACCGTTGTGTTATTTTACTCAAAACTAGATGTAGGCTCCAACCAGAGGCTGATTTTTATTACAACTTTTTTCTGTATGAAGTAGAGCTGAAATTGAGTAATTGAGAATTCAAAATTCCACTCAAAATTCTGCTGTCTATAACCCTTTGACAAATGAGATCACACTGATGAATAAATCAAATCTGCGTTCACCCTGTTGCTGACCCAGAGAGTTGTCGTGTCTGTATATGAAACAACTTCGGTTATCTTTCAACAAAGACTGTCTTTTCTAGATCATTGTACATCATGGTGGCTGTCATAATGACTTATTGAATCACTCATTTGAACAGATTTGTTCAAAATTGCTGTTCATTCAGAAACAAAACAAGTAAGTGTCTTGAGGATTGCGTTTGAAAGTTAATTCATTCAGAATAAATATTTGTAGGCCTATTTAAAAGCGTTTGCATAAAAAGTTACATCATTAATGTTTCAATGGTCTGGCATACTAAAAAGGGTGTAAACAGAATTTTTCTGCAAACCTTTAAAATATAGGCTTATTTGCATATTTTGATTTATATACACTTCTTGTTTATTATGTTTTGTTTGTTGGGTTATTTTAAAAAGACTCAAGCAAATGCAATGTTGTCAGAACCAGCAGTAGATTACAAAAGCCAAATGTTCAGGTTTTGCAAATCAGAAATCACAGAAATATATAGAGTATATTTTTTAAAAGCAACAACATAAATGGATTTTAATACTTTTCTCTTGGTCCAGATCCAGATGTTTTTTATGTTAAGATAAAAAAATCCATCCGAATTTTATTTATTTATTTTTTTTAACTCGAAATAGTCATAAATCGTTTTATATTGGACATTGTTAGTAAACGAATGAACACTTTTTTTTTTTTTTTAAAGTAGCATTAAAAGTGACTATAATTGGAGAAACACTCACAAATATGTACAGGAGAAACTGTAAAGGAACAAAAGCAAAATAATAAGCAGTGAAAAATATCATTGTTTTTATCCTTCATCTTGAAAATAAGTTGACACGGTCATCTCGCATCTTCGTTGTGGAGGCCATGTTCAATATGGCACCCCAGTGGGCGGCCCACAAGCTCAAGTGCACAAGTGAATTGTGAGACAGACTAGAGAAGGACAGTTAAGAGTATGGCAGAATCACCCAGGCTGGTTGACAGAAAGATCAGGGGAGGAAAGGAAGATAGATGACTTAATACAAAGCTGCAGACAGTGGGCAGAAAGACGAGACTTCTGGGAGGATTATACGCACGGACCAATATGAATACAGAGCCGTAGACAGATGGAGAAGTGCCAAACATGTCATGGCTCGACAGGTTAACAAGCTGTCTTGAAGATAAAGACCAGATCCTGACATAAGAATTTGTTTTCTAATAATGACTGTCTGTGAATGTTCAGGTGCTAATTAAGAGGGGAAAAAAAAGTATCTCAGGTATGCTCTAGAGAGTGGCATGCATGTTGCCGTACCTGGTTGCAGGCCCGTGTGACCATCTGGCTGATCGTTGTCTGCGTGGTGGTTTTGACAGCTAGTGAAAGCTGGTCTCTTGATAGCGGCTGGTGCAGTTGTGATGGTCTTCTCATTGTCGGACTGCCTGCACTTTAGAACTGCCTGAAATGGAAATGATGTGGGTGGATAATCATGGAAAAGTCACTGGTCAGCAGGATTTTTTTCCCCACACCATTAATCCAAGCTGAAGTTTTAGTGGTTGTTTATTCTAAAATATGTGATAAATGTTTAACATGGATGTAGTTTTTTTTTTTCATATTTCAATTTGTCTTTTAGTGCAGGATCAGTACATTTTTGTTTATTTGTATTTAAAGGAGTAGTTCACTTAAAAAAAAAAAAACTTTTGCTGATAATTTACTCACCCCCATGTCATACAAGATATCCATGTCATTCTTTCTTCAGTCGAAAAGAAATGAAGGTTTTTGATGAAAACATTCCAAGATTTTTCTCCACATAATGGACTTCAATGGGAATCAAACGGTTCAAGGTCCAAAAGACAGTTTCAGTGCAAACTGTTCAAAGGGCTTTAAACGATTTCAGACGATGAATAAGGGTCTAATCAAGCGAAACAATCGCTCATTTAAAAAAATATATATAACAAAGTTTAAGTTTTATAAGCTCAAATGCTCACCTTGCTCTGGTCTGTGATGAGAGTTCTTGACTCTCCTGATCAAATTTGTTTATCAAAATGAACGGATCTTTTTTCATGTCATTTGATTCATTCAACGAATTAAATGAATGAGTTGACTCTGGAAAAGATTCATTCATTTTGATGAACGAGTTCGAACAGGAGAGTCACAAATGCGAAACAGAGAAAGGCGACAATTTGAGCTTATAAAACTTAAACTTTTTTTTTTTAATGAGCCATTGTTTCGCTTGATAAGGCCCTTATTCGTCGTCTGGAAACGTTTAAAGCCCTTTGAACAGTTTGCAGTTTGCACTGAAACTGTCTTTTGGACCTTGAACCGTTTGCTTCCCATTGAAGTCCATTATATGGAGAAAAATCCTGGAATGTTTTCATCAAAAATCGTAATTTCTTTTCGACTGAAGAACAAATGACATGGATATCTTGGATTACATGGGGGTGAGTAAATTATCAGCAAAAGTTTTTTTAAAGTCAACTACTCCTTTAAATAGGGCACTGGTACATCACATGTAGATGACGATGGGATTTTGAGGAATGTTACAATTCATTTGGTCAGTAACAGATGGAAAGGATTAGTGATGTGATCGTAATAGTGCCCTCTTCAATATTTAATGAGGTCATTTTCATTTGTCTTGTAATTAATTTGGTATATTGCCCACTGAAGGAGATTCACGCTGAAATTTCATCACTGTGCATTAAGTCACCGTATCACAGCACCTGCTACAACCGAAGGGAATTCATACGAGGGGAAAAAAATGTGACCTGTCAGATCCCACCCTCAAAAGTCCCGGGGTCGTTAGGGTCAACAATTGCACATCATTTAATAATAGCTTCTAATTATTATGCTGTATTAGTCTGCTTTCTGATGGAATACCTGCATAAAGACCTATAAATGCTACTAGCATGCTTTTATTGAGCTTGTTGAATAATGGGTTGTTTGCCTTAATGCTAATGTGAGTCAAAATATGCCACCAGGGTCGTACGTCATCTCTGATTTAGCAGCTACATGTCTTCTTCCTCATCATTAACATGCTGTTAATCTTTTAATTCATCGTCCCTCAGCTTCGATGTACATTCCCGAAACCTTAGACTGAACCTCTGTTCAAAGTGGACTAATCTACACTCGGTCCTCTCTGTTGCTTAATCGTTCCACCATTCTTTTCCCCCTTTTTCACCTGTCACATGCTCTTTTAATAGACCTTCGAAAGGTCGAGCTCTTTCACACGCTAGTGTTAAAAATGCCATCGCCTGTCTTTTAATGACCAGTACTTGCTCTAATAAATGTCTCCCGGTGCAGTGACATGTACATAGTCCGGTAGAAATATAATGAGTGTCTTTGGTAGTCTCTAATTGTAGTAATCCCTAATTGCACGGCTTCTATTTGCCAAATAGTTTTAAGGGAAATATTTTTAACGGATTCAAAATTTGTAGTAGACTGCATATGTGACATACTCATTAAATCCCACCTTGGGTCACTTGTTAAAGCATAGTTCACCCCAAAATGTACATTTATTTACTAATCTGAACTGCTTTCTTCCAAAAGACAAAAGATATTTTAGTTTTGTTTATTCCATCAATGGGGTCCAACCCCAGCTTTCTTCAAAAATATCTTTGATAACATTTTCCAATAAGGTTTCATTCATTAACATTAGTTCACTATTTCAATACTTCTAAAACATTTCAACATTTATTAAAATTAAAAGTTGGACCTATGCTAACACGAACTAACAAAGTTGTAACTAACGTTTACAATGATACTGTAACTACTATATTGCTAATTTTTAGTAAATGTTAGTTAACTAATGGGACCTTAACTAAAGGATTAACATATCTTCTCTTGGGCTATACTGATTTGAAATGAGGTGAGGAATGAGGATGAGTAAATTATAACAGATTTGAGATTTTAGGGGAACTAACCCTTTAATCAGTTGACTATATTCATACAGTGATTGAACGCATGATCATAGAGCTTGTGACGGGTGTTAAAGTGTGCACTTGGACCATTAGTATGCAAAGCCACACACGTACAGTAGGCCAATTAAGCATAGTCTTTACCTCTCGGAAGAAGCGAAACAAATTTCATTCTCCCTCCCAAAACAGACCTATTCAATAAATGTTCAATTTTTTTTGCTTTAGTCTTTTCCCTCCCCTCCCATGTGATCGGTCCCTTAGGTAAGTTTAAGAGCTAGTTTTCCATTGTCTCCGCTCTAAGAGGTCTGTATATCACAGAGAATGAATCCTGTCAGTTTTATTACCGCTGGAGCACGGCACCACTGATAAAAAAACAAGACTTCATATACCCTTGCATCTCGCTGCTCTAACAAAATAGCCTTGCTTGATCAGACCCCCCCCCCCCTTTTTTTTTTCTAGTTCAAACCTTGTCTCTCTGCTAGCGCTCGCCTCTGCTTATGTATAAAATGCCTTTCCCTCCCTGTAATGAAAAGGCCTGGCAGAACAAGCCCCCAGCAGGCCCGAGGGTCCCTGCTCATAGCCGGCGCTGAGATCAAGTCAGCGTGGCGTTTCACAAGTATAGTCGGCTCCCATGTCAATATCCATCTCCAGTGCAGTCAACGGTAATCCTAAAATGCCTCTCTCCCTCCAAGACAGGCTTTCATATCACTTATATTTGATAAATGCCGGGAAGCATCTAACAAGCGCACTTTGCGGTAGATATCTAAACCCCGGGTGCTCAGATACGGTGTAACTGATCCCAAAAATACAAGACGTGAATCAATGGAAGAGAAGAAATGTCTAAAATGGTTTTCGCCGGATGTCTGATAATTAAAGTGACCCCTTGCGTTGTCGTATTGAACATGGGGGAATGCCGGAGGGAGAGACTGCCCCTTTGCCCACTTCGCCAAAATAATGAGGAGAATGACATACGCTCTGCGTCGATAGGGAGAGGAGATATGTCACTGTCAGATGTGGAATGATGCACATGCCAAATTGACCTCGTCAATATTATGTTTTTTTTTTTTTTATCTCGATGTCATTTTGAAATTTTAGATTTGATATATTTTTGGTCATACCCACTGTTCATCACTGTTGCACTGATTTAACTACACTGAAAACACTAATAAGTTGATTGAACTCAATTGATTTGAGTAAACTCGTTCCCTCAAATTAATTGAGTAATGGGGTCTCCCAAACCGTGCATATTTAAGTTTACTCAACTTGGTGCTTATGTAGACTTGACTTTAATGGTTTAGTTCAATATGTACTTAAACAATAAAGTTCACTTAACTTAGTGTTGATTTCAAGTGTACTTGTATATTTAAGTTACAAAAATGGGTATTAAAGTTTATTTATCAAGTTTAAAGGTTTTTATCTGTTTATTTCCATTACGATCAATAATTGTAATATTATGAAAGCCATTTGTTTTCTGGTAAAATAAGAATGACACCTTGCACTTGAGAAAGCATAGGCCTATGAATGTATAATTTCACAGTCAAGAAAACTACTTGTGTAAGGATTAATATGATTTTGATCTCATCTCTAAGTTTATGTATTTTGAAGGTAAATAAGTTATTTGATCTTATATTTTTGAGTGACGGGGCCAGAATGCTAAATATAAAGTAGGCCTAATGTTTAGTCAACTACACTTGATTGTGACATCATTAGGGTTTACAGTCGGTAACAGTTTACAATAAGGTTTCATTAGTTAACATTATTTACCGTGAACTAATAATGAACTGCACTTCTACATTTATTAATCTTTCTTAATGTTATTTTCAACATTTACTACTACATAATTATAGTTTCACATGCTATTTCATATGCAAGTATGTCAGCCAATCACAGCAGTGTTTGCAGTGAATCCCACAGCAGACACGCCCCTTCAAACAGAGTGTTCAAATCAGAGGCTTAAATCAGGCTAGGAAAAATGGATTTTATTTCTAAATCATGACTATTTTTGATCTAAAAAAACATACTAACATTATAAGGGTAACCCAGGAAACATTATAAAATAATAAGATAACCCTATGTCAGGGGACTTTTAAAAATCAGTTCTGCCTATCAATTAATAAACACTTAAAATAACTGATGTAAACACAATATTGTTTGATACTTAGAAGGGTATTTTTCAAATTACAAATGACAACCATCTATCAATGCTATGCAAAATCAATTTAAAGCTGATTTTGTGCTGCATTGTAAAACTCTCTAACATCATTATACAGATTGGCATTTCAGTCTAAATGGCGGTCTCCACTCAGGACGTTGTGCGGATGTTGACAGTATCTTGATGGTAACGAAGTGAGGTTATTAGATTATGGATATGGGAGGGAGTTTATCTTTGTCTGGGGTCAGTGTGTTTTATGTGGCCTGCGGTTGTGGGTGTTTCTCAAGGGAATAACACGGCCAATAAAACAAGAGGCATTTGAGTGAGTGATGGCATGTTGTATGAGGATGTTTACTGACACCGTGCATATCTTTGTCATTTTTTTTCCCTTGGATAGACTCAATCTGTATGTTTAGGAAACTTGACAAAGATTGAGTGGCTATAACACGGCTGAGCAAAATGCCTGACAATCACTGTCTGTCACCTGACACCTGTCTGCTAGGAGCTTACGCATCGTTTCCATTTAGAAGACTTGAGCATTGATCAGATAGTAAAAATACGACGATAAATATTAAAAAAGATAAATGTAAGTCATATTGGAAGGGTATGATTTTAAAATGCGTGCTCATTTTTAATTGCATCTGCAGGAATTTGTGTCTTTCTGAACACATGACTAATCTCAATTTAAAATGTTAACAAACAAGTTTCAGATCCACTGCTGGGAGTCAATACGGCTGATCCCTCAAGCAGAATTTAAATGAGTCCATGTCTCCAGTAAACAGTCTCATCGCGATGCGTGTGCTTGCGATTAAATTCAACAGGTCAATACGAGGAAGGGATAGGGTGCAGTTTTAGCATCAATTATAGCTATAGCTAGATGATCTTACAGTATATAAATAGGAAAGAGTATGACTGCTTTCTCAATCGAGGTAGAGGTCAGCAGGTTATCTGCAACTCAATCCATTTAACCCGACCAGCCCTTTTCAGAGTAGCATTTAATAATCACTCCATTCCATTGCTATAGAGATGATAAAACACGGCCTCTTTCGTGTCAAGAGAGCATATGTAGAGATATCCGTCTAGTGCAGTTTTTTGTTTATTTTTTTTTGTCTTATGTACCTGCACCGCTTCATCCACGTGTTTATAAACCTTTTTATTAATATGAATAATATATCATTAATATAAATTATTTAGTTTAATATAATAGTTTATTAATTGTACAAAACTCACACATATTGCTTACAAACAATTTTTCTTTCAGTACAAAGAGAAATCAATTCAGCATTTTTTAAATTTTTTAATCTGTACATTCTTTTAAAATTATTCATGTTAAAATATTAATTTTATATATAAAAAAAAATCTATTGGTGTAGCCCTCAATCGGGTCATGGGGTCGTATAGACTTTTACTTAATAAAAAAGGTTCCCTTCATCTCAGTGGAATAAGATTTTGTGACTTTACATACATTATCTATCTACACACACAAAAAATGTTTACACTTCTGGTCTCCGGGGTCAATATGACCCCACATGGAAATGAATGGGAAATGTAAAAAAAGCTAAATATATTTTCTTCATGCGTCAAAAAAAAAAAAAAAATCTGGCATAAATTTTAAATCTGGCATAAACATTTTAGACAGAAATGAAGGCCTAGTACTAGAGCATGAATGCAATGCATCATAAAAAATAATATTTCATATGCAAACTAATGGTGTAGTTGAGGAATTGTATGGTATATAGATACAAAAGTACTTTATATCTTCAAAAACACAGCATTAATGAATAGATGAGAAGTAAACAAACAAAAAAAATGATATATTAATTTTATGATTAAAAATTTATATTTTTTGTACAATTACTCAATCAATTGTTGGGCTCGTATAGATCCCGAAGCCCAGAAGTGTAAACAGGAAACGAAGACCATTTGAAGGTTAACAAATCTAAATCTTTCCAAGCTTAGCGTTTATATAAAACTCAGAATTATTTTCTTCTTTCTGATTATGAAAATGCCACTGAATTCAGTCTGCTTATTTCACTATCGTGTTAATTTTAAAGGGGTTGACTGCTTTTTTTCTTTGCATGATTGTATTTATGGGGTGCAATATAACATGTATTTGTGGTTTTTCTTTTTTTAAAAGTCTTATTTTTCATAAACTTCACCTTTATTGTCAGCTGCGCTCTCCTCTGTCCTCGAACGAGCTGTTGACTTCCTGAGTCTATGAAACCACTCACTCAGAAACAGGCAGTGGGCTCAGATTGGTTAGTTTGGCCCGGTGTGTTGTGATTGGCTAAACTGTCGCTCACGTTGTCCGGAAAATTAACGGCCATTACCTTTACGGGCGAAACGTGCATGTCATGAGCTCCGCTCCAGATGTAAATAATGGTGTCGAACTGCAGTATCAGTTTGAGGCAGAATCAGACCGAGAAAGCCGCGATGAAGAGAGTCAAACAGAACCTCACCACACACGGCTCTTACTAAACGTTTCTGAATGATAATTTGCTACATTTTTTTTAACTTTATACACGTTTGTTTTACACAATATCATCTGACTGGCAACAATAGCAACTGACTGGCTACTAATGTTAAACACAAACAGCGTTGGCAAGTTTACGTTCTTGATCAAATCGAAAATAATGTCATAAAGCATGAACAAAACAAACAAACAAAACAAAATTCAGATCCATAATGTTTGTACGCATTTGTCGTAGACACAAAATAGCATAACTAGTAACCTAGCGGCTATGAAGCCAGCGCTGGCATTTGAAAAAAATAAAACACAAGGCTACGTCTGGAATTATACATGCAAATACATTTAAAATGATGAAGTCTTAGCCTACTTACAGGTTGTGGCCCAACAACTGCTGCCTCTGGTTTTAAAGCTGGAACTGCTTCACGTTTTAGTAACAGTTTCTTGTTGAATCCGGTGTTGAATTCGTGGAGATTCTGGAAGCTGTCTTCTGTAAAATGCGCAGCACAGAGAGCTAGATTACGATCGACATTTTCAGGAACATAATCAAACATAAATTGTATCCATTGTTGACGAAGCTCGAACACAGAAGACATGACAGCTGATGAACACAACACACTCGACGAGCCGCAGAAATATGCGCGTGCCCTTTTTTTGCATATTCCGGAGGGAGGGTTGATGCAAATGTGTGGGTTAGTGACGTCTAAAACCCAGCTGTAGTCCCAATCGAGTCGTTTTTGTAGGCAATATTCTTCCTGATTTTTAAAAGACGATATCTCTGCTTACACTAAACTTTCAGCGCCTGCAACTTTGCAGATACTGTTCATGCACCAACACCAACATTACACACTATTTAAAATGAAAAAAGTGAAATCGCAATCAACCCCCCCTTTAACAATAATTCAATGCTCAGATCTCACTTGTTGAATATATATATTTCTGTTTTTTCTGAGTGTCTGAAGCATAATGGGTTGATGTGTTTGTGACGTATTGAATCCCAATCCACCTGTTTAAAATCATTTTAAAATCTTCAAATGTCAAACTTCATGCTTTTAATCATGTTTTCTGGTTTGGTCTAATGAATATCACTATATCACATCTCAGTAGCATTCAAGTATACTGTAATTTTGGGAATCTAATCTGTAAATTGTTGCGATCTGCTCCGTGTCCTTCCTCTAACCATGGCTTCATTTGTCCTGTGCGTGACAGGTGAGGGCCAGCGCTATCGCCCAGGATGCTGATCAGAATTATGACTACGCCTCCAACAGTGTGATCCTGCATTTAGACGTGGGAGATGAGGTCTGTGTGCAGCTGGACGGAGGGAAAGTCCACGGAGGAAACACCAACAAATACAGCACGTTCTCTGGCTTCCTCATCTATGCTGACTGACCTGCTCGTGATGCTGCTCAACACACTCAAATATACTGTGTACACACACACACACACACTCATAGTTACCTTCACACACTGAACAGGCTTGAAAGAAATGGACATGAGTCGAAGGGCTTCACAGATGAGGGCAAACAATTCCTTACATAAGCAGATTTCCAACATGCTGCTAATGTGTGTAAATTATAACTTACATTATACAATACTCCCAAACGTGAATTAAAATGCATAAATATATGTCTATATCTATCCTTGACAGTGACGCTCATATTTTAATGTGTGTACTTGTTGGTGTACTTGTCTCCATTTTGTGTGTCAATCGAAACCTTCAAGAGAGATTCAAAGTCACTCTCTATAGTCGACATGCTTTATGTTGAGCTGAGCTGCATTTACACATGGCTAGACTTGAAGCAAAATCAGTGCGTATATCTGCTTTTCACTCAATAGATGCAGCCGTAGCTCATTACAGGCATGTATATATGCGTACACACACAGAGCAGGGCTATTGATTACTCTAAGTCCTCTTGTTCAATTCATTTGACTGTTTTGCCTTTCTGAATTGGAAATATGGCTCTTAACAGTATTTTCACTCGCTCTAATATTAATATATCGATTTAGACATTAGACTCTTCAATAGTCAAATTTAAACCAGTACAATATGTTTTAATCATATAAATAAATATGATTATTTAATAGATTTTAAAGCGGAGGATGTTGAACCCGTCTGCGTAAGTCTAATAAAATATAATACAATGTAAAACTAAATATTACATTCTTGACAATGAATTATTCTTTTATATCTTATCAGCATTATGTTATATAGAGATTATAGATTTGAGTACTATAAAAGTCTAAGAAATTGATTTAATTTCTTTGAATATATTTCAAATGTAGTGACTGCATTGCATTTAAGAGGTCAATACACTTTCACAGTGATTGTTTTATAATATGTTTTATAGAAGTTATACATTTATAAATCAAGCTTATATCTATAGATTTTTCTGTGAGAATCATGCCGGTTGCTATATTATGAGTCCATGTTTGAAAGACAATAATGTGTCCTCAAACAATTTAAATGAAATTTTACTAAATCTATAGCTTGTATTAATTCATCTTTGTAAGAAATGCAGCATGAAGTCAAGCCATGTGCAAATACACGGACACAAATATACAGATAAAATGTCAAAACGTCAAAAACATTCCCTATTCACAAACAATTCTATAATAAATCATATACAAATCTATCTGCCTCGTTTTTATGTAACATTTGTGCAACTGACTATTCAAACACCGTGCAACATGTGAAGTGAATTCTAAGATAATGTTATATACAAATATGGCAAACATATTTATGTCGTGCAAAATAGTTCTCTATAAACATCTGGAGAAAATAAAAGTCTGAATCATAGACATGTTTACCAGAGTATGGAAATTCAGGAAAAAAGAAAAACAAGCTCAACAAGAACAACGACGTGGATTTGATGCTTGGGTTCTACCTGGGCATGCCAGGGCTAAAACGAGGGGAGAAACCTTTAATTAAAAGGGAGAGGTAATGACATTCCGGCCTTAAGGCTTTGGCGAATCTGTAGCCTGTGGGAATATGTGGGGGATCTCAGCATGTCCGTGGCCAGCCTCCTCGCGCTCTCCTGCCAGATTCCAGTTGAAAGTTAATTGGACGGGGAGAGGTCTGAGGCGGCCTGTGCTGAGGCCCATTAGTGATTCCCATGTCGAATGCAGAGCCACGAGGATCACAGACTCACAAATAGGCAGATTAAAATAATCAATACACTTCACTTGCCTCCAACACATTCGCACAAGTGTGCGTAGAAACAGACCTGCATGCACATCCACACACAAATCCGCGCAAAACGAATTCAGTAATTAGTGGAGGACCTATTCACCACCACTGGTGTGTGTTACTTGGCTCTCTGGCTTGAGTCCGAGAGTGTGTGTGCTGTCTAATGAGGGGGGAATAGTTCTGACTGGTGCCGAGTCGAGAGACAGAAAAGGTCAGGGAGCTGTTGATGGGCTCGTCTTGGCACACAATGCATCAGGGGGGTATTTCAGCACACCCAAACAAGCCTTCAGATTACAATCACATCGTATGATGTTCTTTAAACTATAAAAGAATAATAATCCTTTTTTTAAATAGAGGCGAACAGATATGTATAGCAGTAATACAGACTTTTGCAAGGCCTGTACAAACATACACAGATATATAACACACATACTCACCAGACACTTTATTTGGTACACCATGCTGGTACCAGGTTGGACCCCTCTTGCCTTCAGAACTGCCTTGATTTGTGGCATAGATTTAACAAGTTGCTAGACACATTTCTATGAGTTTTTGGTCCACATTGACTGCGGATTCATGAATCTGTTCCACCACATCCCTAAGTGCAGTGATTCCCAAAGGCGGGGGATTTTGAATGGGTCGCCAAGTCGAGCACTATTTTTCAGTGTGCTATATATCTAATCTACTCTCCTAGCAGGGCTATTCAAATGGAGGCCAAGTGCGGCCCGCCAATCATCTCCATACGACCGAGGGCAGGGCATCCCAACCTCACTCCTCCTATTTTCTGGTGGTGCGGCTAAATTTGGTTAGATATGCGCGTGGCCGCAGTGGCGCCTGCAGCTGGACGACTTTATGCACTGTGTGTGTACCATGAGCGCTCCGACTGACCTGAGAGAAACGTTTACAGTCCGAATATTTCAGCAGTTCTTATGCGTGTCATGTATTTCTGTCAACATTATTAATATTAACCATTCCTTGGTTTGATTATTTTCTTTCCATGAATTGGCCAAACGCGCGTGCATAATGGTTCTGAAACGATTTGGATTCGTTCACCTGAAGCGTTTTCTCGGTCAGTAACAACAATAGAGAACAAAATAGCACTGGTTTCAGTTGTTTCACTGGTTTACTTTGAACTAGGCGGCACGGCCCAGTGGATAACGAAACGCAAAGCTTATGCCTGGTTCCTGGTTCAGATTACATGATTTTAGCCCGATTTTTTTGATCCGTTTGACGTAGGGTGTCGTGGGGATTCGTAAACGACAACGGGCGTCGGGACGCAAATTCGATCGTATCATCTCATATAGCGCGTCATAGTAGCCGACAACCTACGTTGCGTCTGCGATGGTTCACGACATCACGACAAAAAGACTAGCATGTTTAAAGTCCCCGTGAACCGGAAGTTGCAAACGATTTTTCTCCAGTGCTGTGACGTATTTCCAAGTGAAACGGAATATTGAACAGAGGGCAGGGTTTTACTCTAGCGCTCCTCCTCTCCATCTCTCGCTCATAGCAAACTAACGGTTTGGGGGGAGTGGTTAAGCGTTTACCCACCCAAGTTGTGAAACCTACGTCATCAGAAAAAGAAACCGTTCCAGACCGAAGTAACTTTTCAGATTTTGATTAAAGATTACCAAGGTAAAACATTTATTAAATATATTTTTACTTGCACGGAGTAATTGTTCACCACAAGACTAGTAATATGCGCTAACAAAGTAAATAGGTTCAATTTTGATTTCACGGGGACTTTAATTTTTTTAATGGTCGTCAACGACGGTTCCGTCACATGTATGAGATTGACCAAATTATGAGCACATGCTTGTCCGTACACAACTTTCAAAAAAAGACAAAACGAAAGAGAGACGATGGTGCTAACGTTAAAACTAGAAATAAAAAAATATATAAGAAAACAATTTAGTTCATAGTTAACGGTTCCTGAACCGTACGCTGTAACTAAAAGCTGTTAAGACCCGTCTTGACTGTGGCGGATGTTGGTGAGCCTGGGTCACGTCAGTTTGAGTTTTTATTTAATGGAATTTGTTTACAGAGTAAAGAATACACAACAACATGATTTTGGTTTAATAAACTTTATTTAAACTTTCGTTTGGAGTTAAGTGCGCACACTCTTTAACGTTTAGTTTAAGTTTATTCTCACCGTTCTTTTTGTTTGTTTGTTTGACACATCTGGTCTGAGTCCCGTGAGCTGGTGCACCATCTAAAGGGGTTTGATTGGAAACATTGGACTATTTATATTAGTTCCGGCCGACGATCGGGCCACAACCATTCCGGTTTCTTCTCCGGGGGGAACTTCAAGGACTATTTTGCTTGCTTTTCCTTTGTTTGTTTATTAGAAGTATATGTATTAAGTATATTAGTATTATTTGAGGTGTTTGTTTATGTATATTGGGTGTTTTCATATTCGTTTATTGTGTGTAATGGCCATTATATGTCAGCGTATCCCCCTTTATGTGTTAATTGGTGCAGGCCACCAAGTTATAAATGTTTCTGTTAGTGCTACCCAGAGAACAGGTTCTGTAAGCCCTTTACCTCTGTAAATGTTTGCAAATGCAAATGCAGTGACCCGTCGTTATTGTATGTTTTTTTTTTTTTTTTGTTATTTGATTTTTGGTATGTTTGGTTTACCACCATTGGGTTAGCATTGACTACACTTTTGTAACCCCATCCTGTGGAAATAAACCCCTAAACGTTTGCCGTAGCCTGCTGCCTCCCCCGTGATCTTTTATCCTTTACTGGTCACATCTATCACAGTGACTAAATCAGCCATCAACACAGCCCCGTGTGATTTGTTTATTTGTTTTTGATTGACAGTAGGTCTATCTGTTGAGTATATACAATATAGCATAATATGTGTGTGTGTGTATATGTTGTGTGTGTCAAAATCAATGAAAATGTATGTTCTTAGAGTTATTATTACTTGACAGCACTTAAATGTGTATTCTTACAAGTTAAAGAACAATATTGTGAAATTCCCTTTTTTTCACCTTTGAGACAAAAAAAAAAAAAAAAAGCCAGGTAAAAAGTCTCTGTGGTAGGTGAATTTTTAAATCCACCAGCCACAGTGGTCAGTGGCAACTGATACATTTAAATATTCTTTGAAGAAGTTCTTCAGGACATTTATTTGAATTGATCAATTTAATGTATGAATAAAAGTATAAAATACAATATTTGAAAGGCATTTATTATAAAAGGAAATTTGAATGGGTCTTTTTAATTATATATTTATAGGTTGTCAGATTCCATTGTTGATCTTCAGCTAATCAAAATCATAAAAATAAATAAATAAAAAGCTGTAAAATATTTTAGACACTGTTCCCTAAATTTAAAAGTACAGCATGACCAGGACAACAAGAAAGAAGTTTTCTAAAACCCACTATGTCTGTCTGCCTGAGATTTGCCCTTATAAGCAATTGAGACAAATTAGTGCCAAGGACACTAAACATCTTTGTGCCAAAAATGTTTACCTTTAATTTAAGCTGCTGACCTGAAACCAAATAGTGATCGTTTGAATTGCATTAATCTAACTGCAAAAGAAGTTGTTTATTAGAGTAATTTGCTCTAATTTAACTTCAGACAGCATGGTTTTTGCAATCGACCACAATCGATTAAAGGAACTGGGGGAGATTTCTTGAGCTTTCAACAAGTGTAAGAACACTGCCATCTATCTGCAAACAGGAGAGCGGCAAGCTCAGCTTGACCCACACTGTTCCTTAAAACTAAAAACAATGACTTGTGGTACTTCTAAATAATTTACTTCATATAAAAGGACACTGAAAAAGTAGTAGTTTCTGTTTAAAATGTACTTTATTGGACAGCGAAAACATTCCAAGTTTATTAAAACAAACAAAAAAAATGTTTTTATTGCATTTTCAATTCCTAATTTCCCACTTTGGAAAAAAGTTAACTTCTCATTCTGAAAAGGCCAAAAATAAGTCTGGCCAGACAACATGTTCACTACAGCACTGTCCAGCAAAGATGCCTGAGGATACACTGGAAGTGCATACACACTGCTTATGTGCTGCATCAAGAGGTTTTATTGCAGACCGTGTCAGCACACAAGAGATCTTTTTCATATCGTTATATGATTTGAATACCACAGGACAGGAGGTGTATCTCTTGGGGAGTCATATGGGAACTTAAAGAAGATAAAAGGCACTTCTAATAAAAATACCCAAATGAGTGCAAACACAAGAGAGAGACTGAAGCCATTAAGCAAATGAAGGTGACGGAATGAATAGGAAGAAAAACAAAATACATAAAGAAATTATTACATAGAAAATAAGACAAACAAACGGGTTGTGGCCTTTATCTTCAACCGCTCATGACCATGCGGACGAGTTCTGTGGGAAGAAAAGAAGAAATCAAAAAAGTTAGTGTCCATTTGCAGCAGAAAGGGGATCGACCCCAACTACAGCATACGGAAAATCTTTTCTAATCTTCAGCCCAAAGTTATTTTTAAAGAACCTAGCCAAACGTATCCTCATCGACCCTTCAAAGCTGCACGTGGCCTGCCATGTTTGCTGTAGTTTGAAGCCGCTCCCCAGTACTCGTTCGTAAGTGGTGAGAAACAGGGTGAGAGCAAGATCATGGCTAGCTCCTACTCAACAACAGTTTAAAGACTTAACAAGGTCTAGGATTCAAGAAAATGTTAAAGAAGCTCCTTCTGGTTTTCCTCTACAGGGCAAGAGTGGAAACAGTCTTTTAGCGCAGCTACAGTAATAAGAGATCGTAGAGTTGAACTATGAATCAGCCCCCATCAGGAAAAGGGAGAGAAAGATCAGCAAACACAGCCAAATCACTGCAACTTGATTGGTTAGTTCATAATAAAAGCAACTGTGCTGCTTGGTGAGCGCAGGGAGGGTTGTGTGCTGATATTTGAAATATCAGAAGACGAATCCAAAAGTGAATTAAACGCTTTTAAATGGAAGCATCCCTTGACCTGCGCTCAAGTCTGAAGCAGCGCAGTGGCTCTTTCGCCTCTTTCCGGCCGTCACAGGGACGGCCACATGCTGAGAGCATGCTGCAGCCAGGGGCCAGAGAAAAGGCTGCTGCAAAGATAGGGAAGAGTTCAACCATATGTCAAAACCACATCCAACCAGGCTCCCTCGCTCAGACGTCACATGGTGCACAGCTACCCTGCTGTGAAGGACTACATTAGCAAAACGATAAGGTGTAGGCTATGCAAACATGCACGTCTGAGAGCGTTCAAGAAAAAGCCTGGATGGATTGTTGCTTCACGTGTTACAAATGTTGAGGGCAGGAGGTAGACGTACACCCGAGACATCTCTCAGCCAGACATGATGTGGCGAACGAAGGCTGTGGAAGATCGATTACAGTTACGGCATGCGGTCACCACCAGATTCTCACTAAAAGAACTTGCATAATGCTTGTAAACAAAATAACAACCTCATTATAGTACATTAATATAATACAATTCCCCGCACACCGCTGTATTTCAGATTAAAATGTACAGTAATTCCCTTTAAGATCTTTTGACAAAAACTAGGTTTAAAGAACAGTGAATGCTCTCTTCGTGAACCTACATACATAGTAAAAACTCAAATGTTTACCTTCGTAATTGATGCAGCCGTTTGCATCTTCGTGTCCGGCTAGAAGCGTTTCTACCTCCTCTTCGGTCATCTTCTCTCCTTTAAAAAACCCCCCAAATAGGCATTTTTTAGCAAATAAAACACTATATACCAATACACCATATTTGAAATGTTCAACTCAACCATGTCTGAGTTCTGTATTTTCATTCAGTGTCCTAGATGTGGAGGACTGGACTATAAATATCTCCTCGGGAGACCAGGCCGGCTTACCCAGTGTGGTGAGAACATGACGGAGCTCAGCACCCATGACTGTGCCGTTGCCTTCCTTGTCAAATACTCTTAGCCCCTCCACAAAGTCCTCAAACGTGCCCTGGTCTTTGTTCTTAGCGATGGCCTGGAGCATGGGCAGGAACTGTTCGAAGTCCAGCAGTTTATGGTTCATTTCTGAGGAACAAAGAAGCCTTTAATCAGACAAGACAGCATTTATTTCCGCATTATGCAGGAACCAAGAGCTACTATAATTACCATAGTTGATATACTATCATAGTTATCATTACATAGCAACATTTTTATAATAATATTGCTACTTGAGTGAAAGAAGTTTTGGGCCAAAACTCAAACACATAGTAGATGAGGCTGCTATTATTTGTCATATTTATTTATATAAAAAAGAAGCTTTTTTTAAAATATGAATACCAAAGAAATGTAATGCATGAATGCACTTAAAAAAACCTTAATTTATGTGCTGCTAAAATTGAAATGTATTTTTTGTTGTTGTGGGATCAGTAAAATTGTCAGGGCAAGCACAAATCTGAACATCCAGCCCAACAGTTAAAAACAACTGTCTGGTTGATCCATTTATTTTCTTATCCTGTGAATCTAGATATTGACAAAATAAGAGATAAAACTGAGGCAATGATTACACAGGTCAGACATTACCTATAGGCCTGGTTTCAAATATAAGGCCTAGATTAAGCCAGGAGTAGGCTTTAGCTGAATTAGGATTTTTAAATAGCAACAATGACATTGACATATTTTAAGATATCAGTGCAAGTTGCTTTCAGTTAAAACAGCTCAAACATATATTTTAGTATAGGACAGGCTTAAGCATTGTCTATGAAAGCAGGCAATAGTGTCTGATCCTACCTTCGGCCTTTGGGTTTCCCAGGACCTTGAGCACCTCAGCATTGACGGGATTCTGGCCCAGCGCACGCATCACATCCCCACACTGACTGTAGGTGATCTTTCCATCTCCCGTCCGGTCAAACAAGAGGAAGGCTTCTTTGAATTCTGCAGAGATCATTGAAGAATTTATTGAAGCAAAATGCTGGAAAAATGGACAGAGAACAGGGAAAGAAGAAAAGGACAAGATGCTTGCATGAAAAAAGAGAAACTGAAATGAACATGGGAAGACAAACAAGGATGGTTGACTGCATTTTGCATTTAAAAAAAGACTAGATATATCATGCCTTGGATCAGCACAAAGAGAAATACTGCACCGGCCATCAATATTAATGCCATTCCAGGCTATTCTAAATGACCACAGACACCTTATCCATCCACCTAAAGTCTTTATACGCTTCCTTACCCATAGACTTTTTGATCACATTAAAAAGCTTGTGAAATATTCAAACGCATCAACTAGCTATTTAAACAGTATGGCTTTATTTAACGCAAAGTCAGAATCTGTGGCAATCTTCAGGGCAAAAACTAAATTACAAAAATAAAAGTTACAGCAAAAATACACGATTATTACTAGTAACATAATAATTCTTAAACCTTTTCTGGTAAAATCTTACTAAATAAGTAGCTAACTACCCTATTATCCTTGAGTGCACACTCTAAAAATACTTGATTCTGATTGGCCAGTCAGCATTCAAACACATAATATATAATCATTTTGATTAAACTAAAATTATTAATATATTTTTATGTATTAAATTGAAACAATGTAATCTGTATTGTGCAAGGCTCTTGATCATAATATATTTATATATATGCAAAGTAAAAGATTGTGTTTACATAATATATGTGTGTGTGTGTGTCCTGTGTATAATTATTTTGTATTTATAAATACATGATGCATGTATATATTTAAGAATTATTTGCACGTAAATACTGTATGTATGTATAAATATATATATATATATATATATATATACACAATCTATATTATATTTAAATATAAACATGTTCTATATGAATAACACATTTTCTTAAATATATACATGCATGTGTGTATAATAATTATACACAGTACACACATATATATTATGTAAACACAAACTTATTTTGGAAGCGATTAATCACAATTAATCTTTGCACAACAATAAAATATAAATAAATACACATATATACACATTATATATATATATATATATATACACTTAAATCATTTATAAAAAGATATTTAATGCATTAAAGTTAATTGAATATAATTGCTTAGACATTGATATTAATTATTAAGTAAACTATTAAAATTGAATGAAGGCAAATTAAAAAAAAATTAAGACAGAATTTGGGGATGGGGGGAATCAAATGGATCTTAATATGCTATATATGGTAAAATATAAAGAGGTTTTTATATACATTTATCTTAAAACAGAATTTTTATATATTGCATTATTCAGTGCTTAAATTGTGCGTGGTTAAAAATAATTTTTGTTTATTATTTTGACTCCAAGCCAGAGTTCACCAAAAGAACTGAATGTTATCCGTTAGGACAAGCCCTACCCAAAAAAATAAAAAGAATCTCCCATCTCAGTAATGCTTTTCCTGCTCCCTGGAATGTGGCTGTTCCCTTGCATGCCTTAAATTGAGCCTTTAACCATATATGGTAAGAGAGGAAAACTGGAGAGCGAGCAGTATTATGTCAACCTCTTTTGCTTAAACAAACAAGGGCAAAGATTAACCTAAATGGCCAGTGATCAAAAAAGCTCATGCCATTAGTAGTAACACAGATTATAACCAAAATATTAAAGTTTCAAAGTTGATTTAGATGTTTAACACGGCAATGTTTCACACCCTTTTGTTAGCAAACTTTCAACACTTCCTGACTGAGACACACCCTCTGCAGATATGACGGTCCATGCTACAGAGGAAACACATAGGCCTCCACATCGAAAAACGCATTTCTACCGTCCAAACAAACAACAATTTAATTCTTACAGTTCATGGATTTTAATTATTGAATGAAGTTCATGTAGGAGGCAGGCGATGTGCTTTCAGACACACAAACAGCAGCTTGTTGCCTTTAACACAATGCAAACTAAATGACATCAGAACAGAAAAGTTATTAATGCACTCACTCACCGTGTATTTGCTCCAAGTTAAACTCAATCTGGAGGTGACATACAGTGGCAAAGGAAAACAATACAAAGGTAAGGAAAGAAAGTAGGAGGAATGCAAGGGCAGAGTAATAGAGGAGCAGAATAACATGGATGGGATGATGTAAAAGCAGGCTTTCTAGGAAGAAATGCGAGGGAATAATACATACACATATAGATCACTTTGAGACAAAGTAACATGCTGCTTGACTAGAGACAAACTCACCAAGAATCTGGTCCTCGCTGAATTCAGACTGTTTGAGACAGAGCGACATTCAATGAATATGAAATGATGCACAATAGCAATGCTGTGAATCAAATGGGGTTTCTGATAAAAACATATCTGGGTCCATAAAATTCGTCTGCGAATACAGTTAAGTCCGGCTGAAAAAGTTAGACAAGTTTTCTATCCCTGGCTAAAACTGACCAGCTAATACTGTCCGCTAACTCATAACCGTGTACCGAGTGACGGTTTAACTAAAAGACAATCCTTTTAAAAATGTAATTTAGCTAGCACAGTCTTAGACTTCTGTAAATGATATTCAAGAACAATTTACAGAGTATAGGTCACTTTCACGCTTACTAAATAGCATAAAACTTAGCTTAGCTAGCATGAAATGGGCTAACGACAGACTCGTTCGGCACTTTAATTCAATACCGTTTTCTAACTCTACATTTAGATATGTTAACATAGAAAAGTTCTACTCAATTCTATTTTCAATTAAATGTTTATCAAAATGCCTACCATATTTGCAGTGGCTTGTTTTCCGGGGTGTGCGTATCGCGGCGGGAGAGTGAAATGACTAACGTTAGAGCTGCAGCGTTATGAAGGCTAGGCACTGTAGGCAGGCGATGTCCGACTAGTGAACGAATCGTTCTTTGGAGTCGAATCTTTTTAATGAATCAGCTGAACCGGTTCACAAAACCTGTTCACTAATACGGATGAACTAATGGTTCGCGATTTGGAATGACTCGATCCAAACGGTTGGGGTCAATTACTGTCAGAGACCGCGTGTTTTTTTTTGTATTTTATATGTCAGACTCGTAATGCTCCTTAAACCGACGAATGAACTTAAGAATATCTGGAGAGTACTGACTTATGTTATGGGACTAAAGCCGAAAGGTATGATATAAATAAATGCTAGTTATGGAAGTGAGTTGAACTTGAATCATGGTTGCAAGAACTGAACTGGGACGCATACACTTACAATAAGCATTATAAGTTAAAATAATATTAACAGTAAAACGTAAAATGGCTGTACGTCATGATACGTCATCACGTAAAAGAATCACTGAATCAGTTTTATACCGGTTCTTTTTAACGAACTGAATCGCGAGAATGAGTCGGTCTTCCCTCTTCACTACAGGATGGAGAATGATCATTACACAAAACATAACTGCACAAAGACACTCCCAGCGCAAACCACATAGCATAATTATTGACTCCACACAATTGTCAAAACGTGTATATCTTCATTGCTGATGATTTATATAGGCTATTTGTGTGAAGCCATGCGATTTAGCTTTTGTTTGTAAGGTTCAGTTGTGTATTTCAATGCTGCATGCCTGCATTCCTAAGCACATGGAGGTGTTGGTTGTCTATATGGGGTGTGATATAATGATAAGTCATCAAACCCATCTAATGCTTCAATATCTGACTGAATATATCGCTCTGTTAATTCCACCCTTGAGAATCAGGTCTATTATAATGAAGAAAATACATTTACATTTAAGTAAATTGTGACAGTAATGCAGCTCAGGGACCCTAGTGTGGACCAGCTACAGCATCAGCGCCCCATTTCTCAATCCTGATATAGCTCTAATATTCTCTTAAGGTTTGGGGGCTGGGTTGACACAGTTTTCCATGAGGTAGAAGCTGCATAAAAAGAGATTACCTTAATGTTTTATTCACAACTACTATAAAATTCATATCTGATACTTGTGTTGCAGTGTGGCAGTAGCCTAGATATGTTGCCATACAGACATTTAAAATGAATAAAGGCTTAAATCTACATCAAATTATTCATATGAAGGTTTTTGGTCTGTCATTTTGCACCACATTCTATTTCTGCTATAGATTTACCTGTGCTATTTAAGTGATGCATATCAGAGCTGTTGCCATAGTAATGATGAATAAGCAGGAGAAAGTTCAAATTTGAAACACTTTGTTGCAGGACCATAACTTACCTCTAATGTGCTGGGGTCAAAGGGGGATTCAGAGGGGCGCAGCATCCGCGGTTTCAGCTCAGGAGCTGGTTTCGGGGGTGAGGGCGTTGTGGAAGGGCAAGGAAATGGTGGTCCATGTCTTGGTAAGGTTCCCCCAGATGGAGATTTTTTAATTGATGGTTCTCGTTTTGGTGCCATCGCCAGACCTTGATATGCGTCCTTCCTCCCTGTCCACTGCTTTTGGGATCTCAAGGAAAAATCTGTCAGATGAATTGCATGTGTGTCCTCTGATAGTAGAAAATGAGAAAAGAAATAAGCGGAGAAGCAGGTTGGCAGCAGGAATAATCTAGGAGGAATTCATGCAGTGGATGTGCATGCAGTGAGAGTGGAAGAGAGTGTGCGTAGGAGTGCTGTCTCACTGAGTCTGTTTCACTCTCTCTGCTTGTATTTATATGTAGGTCAGAACCGTGTACATATGTGGGTGTTTGTGTCAAGACAGCAGTATCAGTATAAAAGAATCTTATTTTACATTTGCATCAAGACCTCTGTGTGTGTGTGTTTGTTTGTAAGAGCTAGCTCTGTTAGGTATTTCACTTTTAATTATGTTCCTTTCATCTCTGGGAAATATTTCTCACCCTCTGTCTTGGTAAGTATCTGTGTTCTTACTCAATGTTTCCGTGTGATGATTCTGTCAAGCATTATTATTATTTATTTACTCCCCTATAAGATCTCTTGGTTTTGCTCAAGTAAAAAATGGTATGATTTAGTCTTTTATAGTCTAATCTCTTCAATAAAGTCCATGCTTAGAGGTACTAGTGTGTATTTGAATATTAAGGATGTACATTAAAAGTATACACAAATATAATGTCACCCTTCTTCTAATATACAGCAGTAATTCCAGTGAAAGTTATCTTAATGACATTATACATTCCAGAGATTTGTGTGTTGGACCATTTTTGGATGAATTACAATGTTATTGGGTGTTTGAATCATGAATCCACAATGAAAACACTAAAAGGCAAGAATGACTTTTTTATGTAAAGTGTTTTAACCAATCAGTAAGTATAGGGCGTGACAGCACAAGGGCAAAGTTGCTCTTGACTAGAACCACTAGATGTCAGTATTGGCCAAAATAAAACCTTATTATGAAATAAATCCCCCTAGTAAGTAAACTATTATGCAAGTTTATTTTTTTTCCTACAAAAAAACAAAAAAACATATTATTGATAATTTATCAAAAATATTTGATAAATGAAAACTTTGGTCATATGTCAACGTTTAATTATTCAAACAGACTTAGATTTATTGATTAAACCTGCTCTAAATTATTTAAATGTTATTTCTCCCTTTAAATGTCAAGCTTGTATAATTTTGTAATCTGGTTTTAAGCAGTAGGCAATCATTCAATCATATTTGTCACGATAGGCCCTACCTTAAGTAGTATAATTTAAAAAAAAAACGAAAAACAAACAAACAAAAAAACAATTCCCAATAGCTACATCATAGTAGGCTATAGCTAATAGGTAAACGAATTTCTTAAATGAAACTTAGAATATTTGTTTACGGACAACTCTTCTAACGTCAAATATGTCCATAGCCTACTACAGATTAAATGCTCTTGATATCTATTTTTTACAGAAACTGTCGAATAATCGATGGTCTCTCCGCCCTTTAATAGATTTTACGTACAATCCATCGCGCGCTCAATGGGCCTTGAAATCACCGTTTATGCGTCTCGAGCGTCAGAACAATAGTGACACAGGACCCCCACCGTGCGACCAACGGCACACTGAATTAATTCATTAATGGACATTTTGCTTATTACAAATGGTCGTCAGGTCAGACCTGTTTAATTCGAAGCAAAACGTGAACATAATCAATGTCTAAAAAAATAAATTTGTAACCATAGTGAGTGACCTGAACTCACGTGCTTGCTCAGCGAAGACGTAGAGCTTAATCAAAGCAAGTCTGCCGAGTGAACATCGAACCGACTAAAGAGATTAAATTCTGTGATTTACGTTTCTTGTAATCTCAGTTTGTACAAGAACCTAAGCAGTAAACAATACAGTAGGCCCTATGTTCTAAATCTTCGACTTTTTTTTATTTTTTGCTGTTTATTTTAGGCCTTTTTAATCAAATGTTTTTGTATGAAATCAAAGCCAATCTACCATTTAGGCTAAAGGTCCTCAAACATCTGCTTTTTCTACACAGTCCCAGAATTGATCGTGGTCGATTTTTCCAATTGGAAAAGTAAACTTTCTATTTTGCCTTCCTCTTTTCAGGCCTTTGATGAAAAGAAATTGAATTATGCCCGAACTAGGCAAAGGGAATCAATTGTTCCTCAGAGGTTCCCCCAGAATGTGTAATAGAATTATTGCAACTGCCCCACCTAATGCCTCACAGAATCCCCGGACCATGCCGAATCATCAAACCACCTGATTTATTTTTAATGGCATTATACCCCTTACTCCATAGTGTCATGGTAATATCAGTGGCTCCTCCAGCTGCCTCTATATCACATTAGCCAAGCTTAATATTGACTGTGTAGGGCTCGCGAAACAATAAGCCTAGAAGACAGCCAGCTTAGAGGCAGCCAGCCAATCGGAAAGCTCTGCAGTTGGCTGGAGGGGTGTTAACTAAAGCACTGAAGTTGCTTTTGCCCTGGAGGAGCAGTTCAATCAATGGGATGCTTAGCGCTGGGGTACCCACAGCTTTCAGATCCAGGCATCCCTCAACAAGTCCGAGCTGACGAGAAACCATGAAACCTGATGCAACTTGATTCCTTTTATTTTGTCTCTCTGTCTTTCATGCAGCAAACAAACAATCACTTCTCGTCTCATTTAATCAGAAGCCGTAGTGTTTTCCAGCTGGCATTTGTTTTCTGCATCAAAAAGTCTGCATAAAGGTGGAAAAATACTTAAAAATAAAACAATAAATCGGACTGATTGAAATGACGGCTCAGTCAAATTGCATTACTCCAGTGCGTGCTGCATTTGCTGTGGGAAAATAACGCAGCTGTATTTTCATTTTCTTTATTTTATTGTCCTACAATAAAATGTTTTATGCATACAACTAAATTGGATTTATGAAAATTAAATCAACCCACTTATCATCTTTGTGTGTCATATTGCTGTAAACCACAGTGGGAATCAGACTATTCCACTTGTGGGCTACATGCACCTGATCACACATAATCTGTGGCTCCCTGCCAAACACACCGAAATCTTTTAATTTGTTAAAATGAAGCCCCGCAAATCTGCTTGCTCGTGTCATTAATTACAAAATGCCAGTTGCAGTTTGTTTTATGATACTTATATGAATCTTGTATAATGATAATGTTTGTTGGAGAAGCTAAAGTAAGGAATGAGTGAAATCTGCCTATTGTGTTTGGGCACACTGATTATGGCCTTTGATTAGTGCATGGGTGCAATCTATTCAACTTCTCTCTCTCCCTCCCATCCTCCCCTCCCTCTATCCTTCCCAGCTTCAGCCCCTTGGGGTATGCCCATGTCCCAAAGGACAGCCAGCAAAGCAGATGGAACCCTCCTCCCCCTCTCCCTCGTCTCTCTCACGGCTCACCCCAACAGGGTTGGGGTTCAGGAAAAGCATGGACTGTGATTGGATGAACACTTCATTTTGTAAAATGTGGTTTAAGAGGAATTTTCCGACCACCTTAATTGGAAGTATAAGTGGTTGTATTCGGCTCATTCGAATGGTTCAATTATCCTCCGTTGGCTCTAATAGCCAGTATGACCCTCAAAATTCCCCAACAGAATGGAATTTGCGCGACTTCCAAGCAATCGCTAGAAAAATTGCAAGAAGTGTTGTGTGGACACTCTCCAGCCATCGTATCAATAGCAGAACAGCCTAGAGAGGGGTTGCAGGTGGCATATTGTGCAAATGGGCAATTTTACGCTTCCAATTATGCAGTGGGCACTTGATTTAATATGGGATTGATTTACACAAACGGGCAGACCGGCTTTTATTCGCAGAGTCCCCCTGATCGCTACTCTTTGGCCATGATTTCAGTGCGTTCAATGGAGAAAAGAAATGGTTTCAGTCTAATAATGCTCTCATGACGGTGAGTGATACTGAGGTTAAAAGTCCATACCCATAAAACTCGGCCCCACTTCTCCCCAGTGCCAGAGAGCATGAGTTAGGCTGTTCCTGACTTCCTGTCCCTCAGGATCCATCCCAGAGAACTCCTGTATTCAGCTCCAGTAAGCAGCAGATAAGGCCGGAGCTCTGGGATTACCTTTACAACACGTATCTCTTAAAACACAGACGCACTCCTACTCTCTCTTGAGGGAATACAGTTTGGTTTTCAAAATGCCAATTTTGAACACTCTTGAAAATAACGGCACGGATGGTTCAACAGAGAACCTTTAACACCCATGGAAACTTAAAATGCACGAAAGGTTTTTAAAGTGGAAAAGGGTTTGATCACATTTACCGTTATTTGAAATTGAGTTTCCACAAGGAATCTTCATGACTGGGAGACCGAAAAAGTTCCCCACGAAGATTTCGGTCATGTCCGAGTTGGTCACACAAATACAAATGTGCCGCGCCGACCAATAGAAAGCTACTTGGTTTGAAAGGGAGTACTGTCCTTCAACTGACACAAAATTTGGTCAAAAAAAGGAGAAAAGATTACTCAAAGGTTCCATTATGAAACAACATTCTGGAACATTTCAATTTTAAGAGTTTACTTCTAAAGTTTTAATGAGTTGAATAGTTTGTTTGGAACTTTAAGTTGAAGAAAATTAGGCAGAAAAAGTCATTAAGTGCACTTTTTTTTTTTTATCAAAGTTTTCCCCAACAGCCCAGCCCCCATCACCCAAACACCCCTGCTTTTATAATTATTACAAGGGGCTCAGCTTTCAGGAGACATAGAGGGAGCATGTGTGCATGGCTTTAATTCCTATTGTATTCGTTCAATCTCAGTCTAAGCGAGTGTGTCTGTGTCTGAGCTCAGGAGAGAGGGAGTGAGGGAGAGAAAGACAGAAACAAGGACCCATCTGTCAGAGAGGCGCACGAATCCCCCTTCCCACTCCAAACAGGTCCCTTGGGACTGCAAAAAAGGATAACTCACTTGTGGCAATAGTTGTGGGTGTGTGGGTTTTTTGGAACGAAGGACGACTCTCAACCAAGGGAACTACAACAGCATCACAACAAGCCAGCTAGAGTAAACAACTGCTAAGTAATTGCTGGTGTGCTTAAGGAGATGCATCCTACCGATGTGTTGACAGGGGGCGGATGCACTTGATTAGTCTGTTTTTGACTTGTCAGGTTTCTGCTGAAGATTTGACGGTTTTGTGGTATGATGCATTCAGT